GTCGTATGTTCCTTGTCCTCTTCACTACATCCTCGATGCTCTCGAAAGCTCCCCAAGCCGCTCGTCTCCTTATGCTCAGCTCTGGAGCTAGGTCGTTCATCATATTGATTTCCCGATCTAGATAGATGTAACTGGAGCATTCGGAGATATTCGTTCCGTTGAGCGTGAATGGGGCATGCAAAACCAATCTGTTCTTCATGAACATCGTTTTGTGAGATTTAGTCTAAGACCAATCTTTCCACAGGCTTTATCAAAATCGGCAAGCATACGTTCCTCTTGGCTAATGTTCAGTGTTATAAGAACGACGTCATCAGCAAACCGAAAATGGTGTAACTGCCAACCATCGATTTCCACTCCCATATTACCCCATTCCAATGTTCGCATGACGTTCTGGAGGGTGGCGGTAAGTAATTTTGGCGAGATGGTATCTCCTTGCCTAACCCCTCTGTTGACGTCAATGACGTATCGTTATAGAATGGTGACATCTTGGTTGTGAAATTTTTGTACTGCTCACGAAGAATCTTTATGTACTGAGTAGGTACTCCTTGACTATCGAGGGCTTCCATAACTGCTTCTATCTCAGGTGCGTCAATAGCTTTCTTTAAATCGATGAAAGTAGGTCAGAGCGGTCTTTTATGCTCTCGCAATGCTTCGGTGAGTCTTGTTATCGTGTGGATGTGGTCCATCTTAGTGAATCCTTTTCGAAACCCTACTTGCTCACATTTCTGTCCATCGTCCAGTGTTCTGTCAATCCTGCTTAGGGTGACTCGAATGAAAACTTTGTGGACGACAGACAGCAAGCTGATTGGGCGATAGTTGCCGATATCGTGTAGGTCACCCTTTTTGAACAATAACACGGTCTTGCTAGTCTTCCACTGAGTAGGGACTTTGCATTCAGACAGATAACGTGTGAAAAGCCGAGCCACTATGTTTACAAGGACAAGCGGAACGTTCTTCTGATGTTCTGGTCTTATCCTGTTCGGACCTGGTGCTGTTCGATTCTTCACCGACGAAATGGCATGCCGGATTTTCTGCACTGTTTTGCAAGTTCGGACGTTAGTTCGCGGTTGCCTGCAGCTCGTGCGATTCCACGCTGACGTATCAGCTCGAGTGTTTCTGGAGACAGACGTCTCCTGGTGACTTCCGAACTCTCAGCTTTCATAGCGCTAACGTGAAGATGTTGAATGAGCCGATAGTATTCTTCGTTGATATTATCGACAACGGCATCTTCTCAACAGCCGACTAACGAACTTAATAAATTCCAGCTTATGGTGGTTTTGGCACTTCGGTTTTGAATTTAATGGCTTTTTCTCCTTTCCGCGAGAAATAGAATCTAGCACGAAGGAAACGGTGGTCCGATCCCGTGTAGAATTTTGGAACAGCAGAGACATCGGTTGGGCAAAACTTCCTATTTACTATGATGTGTTCTATTTTGTTATGGTGCTCTCCATTGGGAGACGCCCACGTCCAGCGTTGAGAGTGGCGCTTCCGGAATTGCTGATTACCATGGATGGTCTTGATCGTCATAATATACTCGTTGAGCCGGTCACCCTGTTCGTTCCCTTCTAATCCATGGGTTCCAATGTGACTTCAGACGTTCTTCTTGGTCCAACCTTGGCGTTGATATCTCCACTGATGACCTTGAAGAATGTATGGCCTTCTCTGTAGAACTTGTCCAAGTCCATATAGAACGCTACGACTTCTTCTTCGTTATAGTTTGATGTCGGCGAGTAAACGACGAAGATTATCAAAGCCGGAATTGATCCACATCTTTTTAATTGTAAACGTCCAATTCGGGTTGTTAGTTGTTCGAATGTTCATGAACAAACTCGTGTTGACGAGAATGCCGACGCCGCCGACTGTCGCAAGTTCCGAGGAACAATTCTCAGGTGTCATAGGCTGCATTGAATGGGTGGCTCGTTTCGTCTCGGTCAGGCCGATGACGTTGCACTTTATTCTTCTTGCTTGCATGAGCAAGTCTTCTATCGAGGAGTCGAATGCAAGTGTACGTGCATTGTAGGTACAGGTCGTCACCTTAGTTCTTTGCTATCCAGACAGCTTCCATTGGCGCTGAGGTCTTAGCTGCCTCTCCGTACTCGTCCTACCCAACGCTGCGAAATTGGGGGCTCTTTCTTGGTCAGGGGAATGAGGCCTGTTTTTTTTTTACTGTGTTCGGCATTTTTGATACCCACCTACAGCTTGCTGGGCTCTGAACGTGGGGTCTGCGTATGCTCATAGTTAGCTTGCCAGGCTCTCCCAGAGTGGACATACTAACTTGCGACAAAAAGCAACTAACTGCTTATTACTCAGAATCTATCAATCACAGCAAAATTGTAGTGTCCCGAAAGAGCGTGATGACATCACCGTTGCTTAAGCGGACAATAGGTACGCCATGGAGAATCTAGTCGATTATTGAACATGCTTAGATACTAGATGAACCATTTCCATGTATTGTATGTGCCACAGAATTTCTCCCAATCGTTTCAGCTTCTTCCAACCGTCATCGATGAAAGTGAACAAGTTCAAATGTGACTACGGCTTCAGAGCCGACGATCTGAGTCGATGGCCCACAGTTGTTCGTGTTCTCGAAGTGGCGTCTTCGTCAGGCATCGAGCTGGATTTTCTTCGGTAGAGTATCTCTCTCGAATGAACCATACTCACCCGACGACGTTTATACAGAGGTACGGATGTTGATAACAGTGATTGACCGGTAACAACGGCTTGTTTTTCGAACAATGATATGAAAAAATTTTGCGCTTTGTATCATCAGCTGCTTTAAGATTTTGTCTTCAGTGTGAATGTCGCAGAACGCTGGTCGAGTCGATTCTTCTTGCGTTCACATGTGGATTGTTGGAGGAGAGCGTTAGGAGGTGGTTGAACCAGCATTTTGCTTTCTGATGAACTGCAACACTAAACGCTATCCCTCACCCTCCTTCATCATTAATTATCGAAGAAAGATTATTAGTATACAGTAGTCCAATTTATTAAAATGATACGAACTTACATAAATAAACACTAGGTACACGTGGGCATCCATAGGCACTACTTCTCCTGAGTTATTTTCCTGCAACGGCTAGGAAACGCATTAATTTTCACCCTGAGCGGCCGAGGAAACACTTTGATCTGCTCGCAATTTGTGACAGGTTTGACATATTGATCCTAACTGTTCGAGTGATCCCAAGTGACTTAGCTTCCCGCTTCTTCATATAACCAATAAACAATGATTCGGCTCACAACCCGTTTTTTGCATAAAATCTTTTGCAATCCAACAAGACGGAGATGCGAGCTTTATAGGGTTACTGCGCCCTGCCTTCATGATATACGCAGTTCACCTACACGATGCCTTCCTTGGACTATAACTATTTGATCGTGCCAGTTTGTCGGAGCCATTCGTCCTGCTCTTCTCCATGAAGAATTTTCCACTGTACAACGATTGATTGAATAAGAAACGAACCAGACTCGTGATTGTTTTCATAGAGATTGGACGCCGTTCACTGCTCCACAAGCTATATGTGTAAGATTTAGAAAAAGTTTTTAAGTTATACATTCATCCCACGTTGAGCAGGTCGGGTATTATCTGGCACTAAAAACATAATGTCATTTAAGTGTGAAAAGTGTGGTACTGTGGAAAACCAATCCATCCATCTCGCTATAAATTTGACTTGTAAGCAAATGGTTACTTAGGAAAATCAATGTGCTGCGAGAACTGAAGAGATGTGACTTAGTTTTTTAATGTCCAAAGTCTTAGCGGGAACGCCGGGACGATAATTTTAATAAACCTTCACTACATTAGTCCATTGGTATGGTAAATGCAAATAATCAACATTCGTTTGTATTGCTGAGCTTACATGAGGTTGATAATAGATGCTTGTTCGCCTAACGTTTCGACGCCTTCCTCTTCATCAGAGCCGACAATTCTTGTCGATGGTCCACTGGTATCCTCGCAGACAAGTCTGCTACTAATTTGCCGACTCCGGAGAGATGGAGTGATTAGTGGGCCTTCGGCGCGGTGATGGATCCCATGCGTATTGCACGGCGCCTTCGACCACCGCGCTATTTGCGCCCTACTACGCTATACTTGGATGAAACTTGTCATTAAAGTTAATTAAGTGCCTGCAAATCTATGCATGTATTTGGAACTGTACTGAGGAGCATTTACTTGTCAAGTTCTCAAGGAACCCAGCACCCCTTCTGCAAGGAAAAGTGCACGCTCGTCAACGTGTTCAACTATTAAACTGACAAGATCGAAGTCCAACAATTCCCAATCTTCTTAAGGATGATAGGATTTCAATGTTGGAGTATAGCGTGTTTAAACGCGGTTTACACAGAAAACCACCAATGTGAGATTCACTTAAGTTTCGACTTTTCTTCCTGTCTCATAAACAACCTATACTTTATTCTCGTTAAACAATCAATCCATGGCAGAAATACAGCTCCATCCACAATCAAAACAATAGGTTGTTTCAAGGTGACTTGTAAAACTCACAAGACAACTTCCAAAAGACAAATCCAAAAACGAAATGCTCCACTTTATACATTAAACATGTACAAAATGCTAATCTAGTTGCCACTTTAAATGCAACGAAACTAAACACGAAAAAAACCTCAAAGATTAGGAGTACTACCCATTGTTGCCATATTAATTATTGCAATTACCGCTGAAAAAAAGAGAACAGGTAGAAGTCGTACGCTCAAAACAAGGTTTCTTTTTGAACTATTCACAAACATCAGTTTTACTTTAACTGGTTCCAATCAGCAATACGCTCTCAACAACTTTCACCAGCCTCCCTGAAACTAGCGTATGACCAGAAATAAAACTATGAAAAACACGTCAAACGTACAACTAGCGTTAAAATAGAAGCAATAGACAGTAAAAAGGAGTAAAACAAACACCAGTCTCCACTATGTCAATGAAATTGACGCAGGATCAAGTAGACTTGGTGACTCAGTGCGAGTAGATACTGGCGAAGTCGCTGTAGATCCTGCAGTTAAAGCCTTTTCTAGAGAAAATACTTAGCGTAGAATAAGAAATCAACCTTACCACTCTTTGCTGGTGGACGAGGCTCCTTAAAATTACCCAATAGTAACAAACGTTCTTCTGTGGATTTCACGGGTTTCTCGTTGCCAGCTCTGAATTAACAAAAATGCAGATATCAAAGCAGTAGGATTACTCATTTACTTAGGCCCCCATTTACTCAAAACGATGACGTAAACAGTCGTCTATTCAAAATGCTAGGGTGAATGTTCGTTCGGGCATACTTCTTAAGCAGATTATGGAAATTCGAACGCATATTGTCAAGTTGTGAAATAGGAAGTAGCGAAGGTGATGTTTCACGTTGTGTGGGAGACTGTAATGGTGTGCTCGATCTGAAAATAGTTTTTAATCAACGATGGAAAAATCATTTGCAAGAAAAGAAAGGAAAATCTAGAAGTTATACAATTTCCTTTTGCGTCCATAAGCTACATCATCCTTTGGTTTACGACTAGCATGAGCCGCCTTTTCACTGAAAATATGTCATTGAGAAGAGGATTTGGTAATGAGATTAGGTGTACAAGGAAACTATTATAACTATTATATATGACCATGTTTCACCAATTCTACAAAGGACACTATCAGTAGTCTCCCAACAGTTTACCGACTCATTGTGGCTGGGAGGTGTTCCTGAGTGTGGGGCTGCGATGCACAGCGGTGGGATTCATCCCCCAGAGGAGTTTCCCAAGTTGAGGACTTCGGCGTTTCCATCAGAACTCCAGCTTAGAGTAAACCAATACCAGGATCCACCACCGTCATGGTATCAAAGTCGCATAGTCGCAAATCTACTCTCTGATCCAGAAGGGCGGCGACTGTCTGTGGTGGTAATTTAGGGCAGTCTTTCGCCTGGCTGACCTCGGGACTCCAGGGAACCACAATAGCTTAACCAGTAAAACTCCGAAAAAGTGGAGAATATGCTAGGGTCCGCACAACAAGTGAGGACGTGCCACCCACGTTTATAAGTATCCAAGTACACTATCAGTAATGCACACAATACTACTTTCGTTTTTTTCAACACAGAAAGCCAAAGATTTTGCGAGCTTAACAATTCCATGAGGACGGTACATTCATCGTGGCGTTCACATGAGATGAAGTCCAAATTTTCGCCGCTGTCACTGTAACTCCACATCAAGCCGTATGGACCACAATACGCCCACGATGACTGTCATAGAAGTGTTAAGAGTGGATTATACGGCTTTTTAGGTGCTTTAATGGGAGCCTCACTTTTCGAGTTGTGAACAAAGACCAAGAAATTTACGTCATTTCAATTTTAAATACATACTCGTTCTTTAATTGCGTCAAGTCAATTTTGAAAGTGTCATTCAGAGGCACGGGAACAAGACGCGAACGCTCTCTCTTCGTCCATTCCATTGATAGAAAATCACATATTTGTTCCTATACAGTAGAATTTTATCAACACTCTATAAAGAAGACTCTGAAGAAGGCGAAATCCGCCGAAACGTCAGCTTAATCGTGAACAAAGAATAGTAACACCTCGCGTTTGCTCAACAAAAATACGAAGAAAATCACTCTATAAAGAATATGTTAACGTGAGAAGAAAACAAATACTCACCACGATACATCTACTGATAGTTCGCTGGGTAATGCGAAGACGTGAAAGGGTAGCGCAGGATACAAGTAGGTTGTTGTTTGCATGGCCAATAACGACAAGACCAGAAGGCACTGAAAATGGATCGAAGACAGCAAAAACAGCAGGGATTTTTACAACCTTTAAATGACATCATGGAAAAGATCTTAATTCATTGATGAGTGATAACAACAATTTGCTAAACAATTTCATTCTGCAAAACTCTTACTTATCATGTTAGAACGCATCATTTTCATAAAACCAGGATGGTAGTCGCATGCTTGTGCACCAACTACGAAAAGAGTAGGACAGTAGGTGAGCAAAATATCATCGTCAGGCTCCTGTAAATTTGACCATAATCATTTGTGACTTAATTATGACTTGCGAAATACAAAGACACTTCCAAAAAGGCTTTTATTCATTTATTAAGGACAATAACAGCTAAAATCGGAATGTATAGATTACGCGGTCAAGGTTTTACCCAATTCTGATTGAATTCATCGACATTTTGTAAAACCGATACACAAATATGAGATACAAGAAAAAAATTTCTTGAAAGAAATATTACGCAGCACATACTGTATGTTATATGTATCACACATGGTACATATATATATATGTAGAAATACACATATGTACATATATATGTATACATTATATATACGCATGCATGTATGTATATATCTACATATATGTATATATATATATATATATATACCAAATATAGCATATAATATATAATAGACATTAATTCTTGGAAGACTCCGAGCAAAAATCAAAGGAAAAGTTTGTATATCGACTTTTTATATCGAAGAATAATCAGATGCAACAAATGCATACTTCAACTTTCTCTATTGAAAGTGGATTAAAAACCACGAAATAATTGTCGCAATCGCTAATCGCTAGACATCGTGTACAGTGACTTTTTTCAGGCGAATTGATGACGTTTAAGCCTTTTACCAGCTAAAGCACACTCACAATTTCACAGCTGTTTTCTTACCCACGCCAGATTTTTACCCAAATTCGATGTGAATCCAGAATCCCAAAAAAATCCGAAAATGAATAGTGCAGACTAACAGTAAACGGCTTTTGTTATTTGTACTATTTACTTGCATTTACATGCCCCGACATCTATATGCGAGTGTTAGCACTTCTTCGGTTTGTTCTCTTATGTTAACAATTTATGGTCTGTGTATTTACGTGCGTTCGAATGCCATTTGACTATTTTGTTTTGCTCTTGTCTCTCGATTTCGTTGAAAGCCGCTCTGTCTCCCTAGAAACTTACAATGGTTCTACAAGAACGTTTTTAGGTCTTCAGCTAACACAATCGGGTTTGCGAACAGCGTGGAACTTTCCTCAGACAGTCCTTTTCTGAATACAGAGGGATTCAGGGATTGATGAACCTAAGGCGCGCCATCAAACTAGGCATGTAGATTATTAACATTATTTAATCACATATTTATTTACTGCTTATTCTTTTTCATGGCAGGTTGTAATATGAATTATGACCACAATGAAAGAGACATTTCCAAAATTCAAAAGTGATTACGCTGTGAATTATACTACAGCCTCAGCTTAACTGACTTCAATGCTGATTTGTGCACCTCAGACCAATTCCGTTTGTGGGTGATTGCTGGTGGAATTGATCGATAGAACTAGATCAGAGAAAGGCAAGACGAAAAGTCCGCGTGGTGTGGTGGCGAACGCGTTAGCCCTTGGAAAGGGTAATAGCAGTCCTTCTGCTATTATCGACCGTGAACTGAAGCGTTTAGTGGAAGCAAGTGGGCATACAAATGTTCGAGAACTTAAAGAAGAACACAATGTAAGGATCTCAACTATTTTGGAGCATTCAGAAAAGTTGAAAAGCAGATGAAGCTCAAAAAATAAATGTCGCACTAAATGAATGACAAAAAAACTGCTGCTTCCAGGTAATATTAGCGCATTCGCGCAACAGAAACCACCCATTTCTTCATCGTGCTGTGATTTGTGGAGAGAAATGGATCCTATATGAAAAGCATTAACGGTCGGTTGAGTGATTGAACAGCGAATTTTAAGCAAATGGTGTAAGTACTGTTGTTTCTAGTTGGCAAAAATAGACAGATTCTAACCGTTTTTATTTCCACTAATGAAACTTATTCAGAACTGAGATAAACCGTTTTGGAAATACAGATTCAAATTGAAAACTGACTCCCGGAGAACCTAATACTTGCAAGGTATCTTTAACCAGTGCGCTTCCGGCACCCTTTAATATAGAATGCACAAATGACTCGTCTTTTGGTATGGATAGTTTTCCATGTGCAGTTTAAGAAAGACAAGGGAAAATAAGAGAAAGGGGCTTTTAGCCGGCATAATGTAGTTAGTGTATGTTGTACTAAACACTCTTGAAATGAATAAAAATTGATTCGAACATCAAAGAAGATACTTATTGGAGTGGTGATCATCAATTGTAGGGAGGGCACCTGCTACCACTATTAGTTCAAATTCACAACAGAAGTGAAAGTACATCAAATGTGATCAGGAATATTTACGATATATACAAGAACTCAAAAAAAACGAAACCCGTAACCCACCCCTCGAGGACCATCTATTGTTAACAGCGGATATCCGAGATCGATTATTGCCGAAACACCAGGAACTGAGTTCAAAACCTAAATATGAAAGAACGGAATAAGAAACTGTAGACAGAAGTCTGAAAACTGTCTTACTCACCACATGATTAAAGCAGCAAGTAGTACCCCAACCAACAAGTACAACTCGTTTCTGTCTGTAGTCTCTAACCATTTTAGTAACCTAAAACATAAAAAGCAACTTAGATTGACAAATGGACCAGGAATGAAGATGTGACGGAATTGAACAAAAATGAACAGAAAGGAACAGAAACGAATAAGAATGAAACACATACGACAGTAGAAATAATGTTGACAGCGGTGAAAAATACGTCACTTATCGTAGTCGAGGATGTTTCATCTATTTTTACGCGTACCAAGACGGATCCAGGGTTACCGATTTCACGCAGCCACCTCAAACGTTTCCATTTGACCAAAACATCATCTAAAATTCGCGAACCCAAAATCGTACCTGAACACGGGATCGTAGTGACGATCTCTCACAGAGAAGTCTCCAATGGAAATACTAGGGGCCACTAATACGAACACAACGTCAGAGAGAGAAGCTTGCTGAAAAATTGAGAGTAACAATAAAGAATGTGGCTAAACATTTACTCGAAGAAAAATGTAAGCAATATCACAGAAAATCAATATGCAAACATGAAAAAATAAGGAAGTAATTTTAAAAACTTTACCACAATAGTTCGATCTAAGTCAGCTGCATCGGGCTCTATAACGTTAGACTCCACATATTTTCCAACAATACGAGTAATTTCGGGCCAAGGATTCGAATCGTTCTGTGTACTGCGAACAATTGACTTCACTTGACAGTTCTGTGAAATAGTAGCATTAGGAAACATCAACTACAGACATATATATACATACGTAGATACGTATAAATTTATTGTTGGTGGCAGCGGTAGGTTGAAAACTGCCTGAGCGAAATGCAAAGCAAAGGCCTCAGTGGTGCAGTGTGTAATACGCCAACCCTGGAAAGGGGAATCGTGGCTCGATCTGGCCCAGAGTCGAAGTTTTCGAATACCTCTGCACCGCTGCGGTTATATTTATTTATCTGTTCATTTATTTATTTACTAATGTACATAATGGACCACAAACACACCAAAAGCCTTGTGTGCCGTAGCAGAAACAAGTATGAAGCCAACAATTCCACTGGCAACATCTCAATAAGGTAGCGATGCATCCAAAAAACGGCTTCTTCGCGTTCCTGTATCATATATACCATTACATGAGTGTAAGGACTTGCAAACAAAATATGTCACAATATGAGGAAGCTCAGCTCGCAGAAAACGTAGTCATATCAGCATATCCAAAAAACGACTCACCTGGCTGAATGGCAAACAAACAAAATTTTAAAACATCTTACTCGTTATACAACATAGGGTAACGAAACAACTATAGAGATCCCTGTAGATGTATATCGACCAGCTCACCTTACTGAACATACATATGACATCTCGCATTTTACTAGCTTGAAAAGTAACCACGTTGTACACGACTACGGCTGCTTCACGACCAACGGCTGACAGTTGGGCTATATGCAGAGCGGAAATACATTCAGTAGCCATTAACAAGAGGTTACGACGTAGTTCCGGCTGCTCCAGAGCTCTTGAAACAAAAACGTTCTAGATTAACACGACTTAAATTCATGCATCACACTAACAAATAAAAGAAAACGCCCCAGGTGAAAAGAAGGACCCCCATGATGTGGTGGTTAGCACGTTACTCCCCAGAAAGAACAACAGCGCGTTCGTTCCCCACCGTAGACACCTGCGGTCTGGAGTTTTGCAAATATCTCAGCATCATTGTGGTTATTCCACAAATAATACCCCACCGTAAAAACTAGTAAGAGGAAGTTAATAAAAAGTCATCATTGTGAAAAGAACATAACTGGAAAATCTTAAGAACAAAATGATAAAAAAATTTACCTTTCATGCAAATAGGATATGCCGTCTTCTTCAGCATACAGGCTAGGCCTCATAAGCATCTTCTCAACGGCGATCGCAACAGGTTCGGCGCTTTGATCCAAAACAGGAGGTGCAACGTAATCGTCCAACTTTGGTATGTGTACGGCTTCTATAGTAGTAACATCGATACCGTCGTCAACATCCATATCGAAGTCGTTCCATCTGGAAAAAAACGACATCAGTAAGAGCAAAGGAGTTGTACAGAGTTTGTAGAAAATTTGTTCCATCCTGTAGATTCCATGTCTGATTTTATAGAAAAAAAAAGAATTAAAGGCACTCGCAAATACATGCATTGATTTCGACACCTGGATAAAAGCGCTGCCACAAACAAGACAAAAACTATCTTGTATTTAAAAAAATTATCAACTGTTAATATCGGAATCTCTCATTTATTTAGACCTACACATTGTGCTCAAAACGATTTATTTTATGATCTTGTTCCTCTGGGTTCCGTAGAATAGAACGCCATTTAGCCGCTTTCAATACGTAGTACATAGTAGCGCACTGCCTGATTGCAGAATTCGAAAACTTGTAGTTATTGCGGAATTATGCGTATTATACGCGTATGGCGCAAGGGTCGGAGGCGCCCAGCAATACACGCGAGATCGATCTCGCGCCCCATGCTCACCAAGCCCTCCATCCCTCCGGGTTCGGCAAATTGGTACCAAACTTGTCTGGGAGGATAGTGGCACTGGCTCGATACATCGCTAGGCCTCTGCGAGTCAATGTATAGCCCAGATATACATTTCCAAACGATGCTTAATGAAGTCGAATCCCTCAGAAATTGATCAACGCCGAGAGCTTTTTTAGGCTTCTGTTGAAAAGTACCGTTCATTATTTGGTAATAGCGACGAGTTGTATCAAATCAATAGATAGAGAGCCTATTCGTCGTCAAACGCGATCACAATGTAGAACGATGACTCCTCGCGAATGGTTTGAAGAGCATATTTTTAAGCGATTATCTAATCAACATAAAACAAAACAGCGACAACTGACGAATCTTCAACCGGTTCGCGTGCACCACTATATTCACATAATAATTCTCGATAGAAGTGATCAGGAATGGGAGCTCGATTGCTTGATCTTTGCGGCTGCAAGAGAGGTTGAGCTGTTAGGACAGATGTCTTCGACGAGAGAAATGTGTTGAAGGAAATCTGCAAAAGAATGATAGACGACAGAAGAACAAATAATTCACGCCTAAACTAATACAGAAAAAGCCAAATTAACCAATTTAGTACAGACCGGCATGGTGAGCCTTCTCTGTTTTTCACGCTGTTGTTCTTCTAATCGCAATCGCTCTTCTTTTTCGCGGTCCACAGGAGAAAGATCTCGGGGTTTAGAGCGAAAATCTAAAGCAAATTTGGGCGGAATAAAGAAAACAAAGTGGAAATAATTCTTAGTATGAAAATAAAAAGAGTCCTTCATGAAAATGGGATAAATAGAAATAGAACAGCGAAACTACCATATTTTCCTGAAGGATGGGCGGAGCCAAATCGTGAAAGGTTGGATTTCTCTTCGCTTTGACGTGTCGACTCAGCTAATTGACTCATCACTTTCCGAGAACGCTGGCGACGAAGCTCTTCGTGCTGAAAATTGTCGAGAGTGAAATACAGTAAGAACTTCAACGTACAATCCACTTTGCAATCCTAAAGCCAGGTGATTTCGAGGACCGTAGCAAAATACATTAAGAACCAACTTTTCTAATCTCAGCTTTCGACCCACGTTTCAGTGATGGGTAGTGAAAGTCTTTCTGTAGCAGGGTATGCTTTCCACTTCGAGCTCGTAAGGCAAGCTCATGCTGATGAAACGGCTCCATTCTGAAGTATTTTAGAAGAATAATATGGGAGCAGTAGAAAACTGGTTGAAAAGATCACCTTCTTTGTCGTTCTCTCAACACAATCTTACAGTTGCATTCATAAAATGTTGTACCACATAATGTGCAAATTTTTTCTACTTTATATGACCCGACTACTACTGTACGAATCCCAGCACTGTTCACATTCGATTCATTCCCTTGCATCCATTATCCACGAAGATCTTCCAACTTTTACGTGTGGTTTCCGCTTCTGCTTGAATATTTTCATTTCATCTTGAATGTCATAAAATGCTGGTCCAGTCGAGTCTCCTTGGAATCCTGAGATAGCCGGGCTGGAGCATTCTCAGTTGAATTGCAGAGAGTGATTTTTTCACGGACAAGTCCGACACCAATTCCACGACCCCTGAGGGATGAGAGGCTTGGTTGGCCAGGAACGGAATCGAGGTATGATTTTGCTCGTGATGATGGACATCACTACCACTGTGCAATTTGCCTATGTGCTAATAACATCGAATAAAGAAAACCTTGCAGACTTTGTCGCCGCAGTGACGAGTCCCTGCGCTTCTCGTGCAGCTTTTTCCTCTTTGAGACGATTTACGCGTTCACGCGCTTTTTCAATGTTTCTAAATGACACGTCTCTTTTACGATTTCGGCTACCAGCTGAAAGAATGGAAATACATCCTACTCTACCTTTTTCTCTTCTCTCGTTTGTTTACAATAGCAGAGTGACGAGTAATGCCATCTTGACAAACTTCTGCTAGCAAACGATCCATTACCGCGTTAACAGAAACACCCAGCTTTTCAACGGTTCCTACGTAAAAGCTCACATTTGATTAAAATGTTTACCAGAGACCCCAACATGACGAACACCAAATTATTATCCTATAGATGAGATTCAAAATCGTTACTAATGATACTTTCACAAATTTAAAGAACGAAGACAATGAACACACAGAAGTCCTTTCAACATAACAACCTACCATCACCATAGTAAATGTTGCCGAGTACTGGCTTTATGGATGGTATGTAGTGAGACCACGGAGAAGTATACTTCTTCACTGAAGCTTTCTTCTTGAGTGTAGGTTCAGGAGTAAACTGAACAGACACCGATGCAATCACACTTTCGAATTAATGTGCTGGTATTACGGCTGAGGAGCAAGAAAACTCACTACAGCGACCTCCTCTTCTACTTTGCTACTGCTGGTATCTTCAACAACGCGAACGCGAGGAAAGTTTCCAAAGTTAAATATTTTCAACTTGATTTTCACGCCATGGGTTTTCTTACTCTTAGAACGTCTAAAAAGTAGAATATCCCGTTCTTGAGTAAAGAAAAACACACGTAAAATATTCTGAGTTTCACATTTCATTGGTAACTAGGTAAAAATATAAAAAACCTGCGGGTTTCCATAGAGTGTAGTGGTACATTGCCAGGTAGAGGTTTTGACGGCCCGGGCTGAACGGTATCGGTTGACAAATCATCAGCCTCTTTGCAATCACTTGTCTTCTGGTTGTCATTGACTTCGTTATTGTCAGGCTTTGCGTTGCTGTTATCTTCGACAGAGCATTCCACTGCAGTGCTAGCCTAAACGAAGAAACTGGAGTAGGATGATGAATTGCCTCACGCTTAATTAGTGCCCAATCCTGAAAATTCAGAAAGAAAAGTGAAACTTGTACTGATAATTATGTTAAAATTACGAACGTGAGAAACCGATTCGGAACTATTAGATGTCAAGCGACTCAATTTCCTGTCCAGTAACGGTGAAACAAAATCAGCATTCACGAAACGGGAAGACGGACGAACTGCTCGAGAAGAGATTCGACCAGCTTAAATAATTGTCAAACATAAGCTGTAACTTCAAAAACGCGCTAATTAGAAATTAGATGACCTTGCGCTAATGATGACGATGCAGCACTTCCTGTGCTAGTTGTCTGAGAAACCTAAAGAAAAAAAGAATGTGCTTCATATATATTGAAAAGTTGACGAAACTATTTCAAACATAAAACAGCCAAATATCCAAAAATGATAGAACGTTACAACGGTTTCGTTCCGTGTATGGCTGTCAAACTCATTAGATGACGTAGGTGATTTCAACGGCGCAACAGAATCGACGTTCTCTGAGGGCGTGTCATTTGTTACTAGTTCCCTCTTCATTCCAATTACATCTGCAGCATCGCTTTGTTCTACTTGAACACTTCGCTTTAAGTCTAAACAAATGCTAAATGACCGAAAAGTTCTACTGTTTCAATCAAATCAAGTAAAACTTCAACGTCATCGAAACGACTATCTCTATGGAACCTTCGGTGACGTTCTCATCCGATGGAATGACAACAGGATGAGCAGTTAACAATGGTTTAACATCTTGAATATCAGACACTAGCACTGTCGATGGCTGTGGCGATGGAGACCTAGGTGGGCGAGTGTACCTGCAAAACAAAAGTAGGATCGCGAAATTCTAGTGTAGGATAATACTGGGAAAGGAAGGGGTAATACTCATATCACACAACCTTAGCAACCAACTAGACGACAGTTATTAGACCTTTTAGGCCTTCGCACACAATTATCTGTTACGAAAAGAGAGAAAAAAGGGTAGTTAGTAAACGTACTTTGATACTCTTCGCAATATGCTCAGAGCAGAATTCGGATCCACACGCTTCGACGGTTTCCAGGGTTCGCTGCCTTTCACTTCATGCTCAAAATCACGTAATTTTGTCGAAAGGGTATGACAACGTGACGATCTGGAACAAAACGGAAAATGATGATCACACAGAACAATACCTACACGGTCAAAAAGCAATAACTAACCGCCGAACATTTAACAACGTTGGAGAGTGTTTTGAAGTAGAAGTGGTAACAGCACTGTCCACAAGTGAGAGATTTCTTACTTTTCCAGTTCCATGAGATCTCATCGGTATGGGACACCTCTTCGGCCTAGATAATTAACCATTTTTGATAGAAACAAACATCCAAAACAGAACAGTTGCATTTGCGAGTGAAAGCGGCTCTTGTACATATATCGCGTATATTATGTATTACGAAAGAATTTAGTGGAGCTTTTATAGCCTGAGGTTATGGAAATGTTTGGCTGAATAGTTGCTTGTCAATTTGACCTTCCCAGCCTCTGAACAAGGAGAAACCGTCAAAAACTCAGCCACTCGACTTAATAAATGCTGGGATAAAACCTTGTGTTTGCTCACCAAGAATAACAGTGAATTATTGATCAATGTAGAGGTTAAAAGAAAGTCGGTACAGGAATTTTCCATATATGTATGCAAACATATATATATATGCACGTATATGTTCATATACGTGTACATATGTATATATATATGTATATATATATATGTTTAATGTCCACAGAATTCTCATATGAGGGACCTCAGGCCAGTTATTCGCGACGCTACGTGGCGCGTCCCCAGGAGGCGGATATGGGATTAATCGAGGACCAAAAGCGATCCACTGTTTTCCTGTGACGCAGGTGGATACAGGGGATGGACTCCCGGTTTCTGCTGCGCCGATTTTGCACATACTTTCTGTATTTGCTATGCGTATTCATGCATGCGTGTATGGATGCATTACACGGATTGTATCTTACGAGTCAATTCAGCAAAAGGCCTACAATTAAGTGATACGGAGTACACGAGAGGCGATTAGCAGTCGCCTCCAACAAATAAGCTCCATGTCCACTCTGGGAGAGCCTGGCAAGCTACTCGTGAGTCTACCCCGTCCCAACGTTCAAAGTCCAGCAAGCTATATGTGGCTATCAAAACGCTAAACACAGTAAAAGAAACGGGCATCATTCCCCTGACCCTGGAAGAGTCTCAATTCGGCAGCATTAGGAAAGACGAGGATGGAGAGGCTGTTAAAATCTCAAGACCAATGTAAGCTGCCTGAATTGTAAAGAACTAAAATGACAACCTGTACCTACAATGCGCGCACACTTCCATCCGAGTCCTCGATAGAAGAAATGATCATGCAAGCAAGAAGGATAAGGTACGACGTCATCAGTCTGGCCGAGACGAGACGACGCCACCCATTCGATGCCACCTATGACACCACAGAGCTGTTCCTCGGAACATGCGACAGTAGAGGAGTCGGTGGCGTCGGCGTTCTCCTCATCACAAGTTTGTCCATGAACATCGACTCATTCGAACAACTTAGAACCCGAATCCGACGTTTACGATTAAGAAGACGTGGATCAATTCCGGCTTTAACAATCTTCGTCGTTTACGCGTAGATATCAAACTATGACGAAGAACAAGTCGAAGCGTTCTATAAGGACTTGGAGAAGGTTTATAGAGAAGACCACGCATTCTTCAAGGTCATTATTGGAGATATGAACGCCAAGATTTGACAACCAAGAAGAACGTCACATTGGGATCCAAGGATTAGAATGGAACGAACCGGATGAGCGACTTCCTGAGTTCATCATGACGACCAAGAACATCTACAGTAACTAGCAATTCAAGCCCCACCCTCAACGCTGGACGTGGGGGTCTCCCAGTGGAGATTACTTAAGGAAATAGACGTCATAGTAAACCGAAGGTTTTGCTTCACCGACACCGGTGTTATTCCAAAATTGTACAGAAAACCAGACCACCGCCTCCATGCAAGACTCCATTTATCGCAAAAAGGAGAAAAAGCCGTTAAATTCAAAAAAACCGAAGTCCCAGAACCACCACAAACTGTGGCTTATTCAATTCACTAGTCGGCTGTTGGGAAGATGCCGTTGTTGATAACATCGACGAAGAATACGATCGGCTCATTCAACCTCTTCTAGTTAGCGCTATGAAAGCTGAGAGTTCGAAAGTCTCCAAGAGATGTCTGTCCCCAGAAACACTCGAGGTGATACACCAGCGTAGAATCGCGCGAGCTCCAGCAACCACCAACTAACGTCCGAAAAACAATGCAGACAGGTGATAAAAGATTTTAAAGTGAAAAGTGAAGCAGTTATAGTAGAAGCCGCAGAGGTTGGGGAATGTATTCGCAAAGCCCACCGAAGCTTGGCCAATTACAAGAGCAAAACGAATGCACCTCGACGCCCAGACGTAACAGTTACAGCGTCCAGAAAGGCAATGGGGAAGATCATTCACGAATACTACTCAGGCCTCTTCGATAACCATGTCCAATTTCCGTCATTGTTGTACCACCGGGTCTCCTTTCCGAAATCCGACATGCCACTTTGTCGGTGAACATCGAACGGCACCAGGTCCGGATAGGATACGATCTGAATACCTGAAAAACCTTTCGCCAGTCCTCACAGACACACTAGCTCGGCTCTTCACACGTCACCTGTCTGAATGCAAAGTCCCTACTCAGTGGAAGACCAGCAAGATCGTGCTAATGTTCAAAAATGGTGACCTCCATGATATCGGCAACTATCACCCACCCTTCTTGCTGTCTAGTTGCTTCCTTCCTACTGAAAATAGGCGGATTGAAAAACTAAAAATCTTTTATTCCCTATGTGAATGTGATATTTTCATAGAAACATTGTTCCTTTAAACCAAGAGCAGAAGGAAACGAGCGGCTTGGGGCTTTCAAGAGCATCGACAATGTAGTGAGCAGAACAAATAACACCCGAATCCGTGTCCACCTTTTCAATTCAAAGGTACTTCCTGCGTTTACGTATGCGTCAGAAACCTGGTCGCTGCGTAAACAAGATGAAAAATCACTCAGCGTTATTGAACGCGCAGTCGAAAGGACGATGCTAGGAGTACGGTTCTGTAGACCAAACAGTCGAAGGTGGGCCGGACACGTAATGCGTATGAATGACAACCAATGGGTAGAAGCGGCTATTGACTGGATTCCTCGGGATGTCAAACGCACTGCAGGAAGACCACCGACCCAATTGTCAACGTTCTTCACGAAAAGCTCAGAAGAAAGATATGATGTTCGAGTCCTTAGAGCAAGCACTCTCTGGGCTACTCTTGAACGTGACGGGGAAAAATGAAAGATTTACTGGCGCCCGCTCGAGTCGCCCAATGATCAACGGGACTACTGATGATACAGGTGATTCATATATATATATATATATATATATATATATATATTACATATATATATACATATATATAATGTATTATGTGTATGTATATATGTACATATATAGGCGTTATGTATAAAGGATCATGGAACCCTCCTACCAGCTTTCCTTCACTGGAAGTTCTTCTGCCACTTTACATTCAATTCCCAACATGTAAAACCCAGATGCTGTGCTGCCCTATTTTGATATCAAAGAGCCTCTTATCATCAAAAGCTCAGTTACGCTTGCTGCTCTCGAGACGTCTTTATCGGAGCTCACTATTAATCTTGTACGTACACCCTCCCATTGTCGACACTTTCCAAAAACTTAGTCCATGTCATTGCCCGTTATGTGGCTTTAGATGCTCTCGCCAAATGGCACTAGTATCACAACAATGCAAGATACAGAGCAGGAAGAAAATAAGATGCCAAAAAGACAAAAATAAGTGGACCGTCGATTCATACAGTGGAAAATGCAAAAAAAAGTATTTTCATCCCTAGCGCAAATAGACGGTATCCACTGGATCAAATACATCTCTCGCTTAGAAAAAAGGTTTATCCCGAAACGGTCATACAGTGCACACCTACCTCGTGCCAGAACCTATCTTCTCTATTTCAGAAATCTGCTCTCTCTCTTCAACACTGCTCACATCGTCTGTGGAAGTTGAGCGGTGGCTATAAGCGACCGTGTAAACATACAATTTAAATGCACACGAAAAAGAACTTCCTAATGCTTAACATAACGCTGACATAAAGTATTTTTAGGAAACCAAGAACCTTGATTTAGTATGCACTGGATCCATCAAATTTTGAGCCTCCGGACCATCTGAAATTCTTATTGAATCTTCCGGAATAGGCAGAGCACCGGCTTCAGTTCCAAAAGCTTCGGGTCTCGAGTTCTCTGCTTGTAACTCATCAACGAGTGCTGTATCAACATCGCTGTCCATGTTTGAAGATTTAAGACTTGAAACAGCAACCTGCGTTGAGGAAAGAGAAGAGTCCTGAAGTGGTAGAAAAGGAGTAAAGGACAGTTTGTAAATTTCAGCAATCATAAATAAAATTTTGCACAGCGATGCATTTACATACACTGACAATTTCATTCTGTATCACACTTATCCCACCATTATGGTTTGAATAAATAGACTGAAGCAGACAGCATAACTTTGTGCTATCTAGTTAACTTCAACAAGGACATGTAATCATACTTTCATGCCTTATTTATCCCTGGAAATATGGACTGCGACTAGCTGAGAGAAAGGCGAAACGAATAACACGCATGGTGTGGCAGTGACCGCATTAGCCCCCGGAAAGGGTAATAGCGCGTTCGTTCCTCATTGCAGACATCTGCGGTCTCGAGTTTTGCAAATTGGTCTCAGCACCATGGTTGGTTGTACCACACGTAGTAGCTTGCCGTAAAAAATTGTAATAGGCAGTAAATTAGAAAGCTAACTTTGTGACTCACAAGAGATTTACGTCCTGTATCGAATGATCTCTTTCTCGATGTAGAGCGTCCACCTAGCACTACCTTAAAAACAAGGCTTTACCTTAACCAGTAATATCAAAGACCGTCATAATGGGTATGTTACAGTCCATGCAAGAGCACACAATAGCTATGGAGATACAGATCATTGAAACTCTGTTCATTCATAAAGAAAGAATATAAACGAGTATATTAATGCGCAAACTAAAGTACAAACACCTCACATCCTACTGGCCTGATGAATGAACAACCTTTTCTTGAAGAGCAGTCACAGGTCGTCAAAGGAGGAATATCTGTAGTACCAACCTGGGCTAAACAATCCAGAGTTTCACCAACTGAATGTCGTTTAGGCCGACTACTAGCAGAACTCGAGCCTTCCACTTTCTCCTTCTCAGCTGGCATTTCTGTAATTATTAAAGTTTTCATACTTGTATCCTAGAGAACTCTTTACTACTTACCATCATCCTGTTCCAAGGGATTCAGCACACTTGGTCGAGAACCCTGGGTGTTATCACTGTCGCTACTTCCAGGGCACATCTGCTCGGAACCACCGGTGGTTGAATTCGTCTAAAATACCAGTGTGAAATATAAATGGATAAAAAGGTGTACAATTTATAGAACTTAATATTATTGATGAGCACAGATTAACGATAGACTAAACGATTCCTATCGAACATTTTCATTTTAATCGATCTGACAAAAAGGAAAAATGATTAAAAAAGCAATTACATTTTCTAATATGGATGACCGTTGTTCCGTAATCACCGGTGGTTGCAAAGAATACTCATTGCCCGCCGCAGCTCTGGTCGCAACTCCTAATGATTTCCGTCTTGGGAGCTGTAGAAGTACAGTAACAAGTTAGTTGCAGTTGGTTAGGTATTGGCAACATTTACGCTTCAGTTCCTTATGGGCACCTTATAGTATTCAAGTGATCTAAGCAATGATCTCTCATCTATACCTTTATGGTAGGTTGCGGTGGTTTATACTTTTTTCGTGATTTTGTCGCCACTGAGAGAGACAAAATAGAAATTGGCGTCGGAGTGAAAGGAGCAGCTCCAATGTCCGCCATCCGCACCACGGGTACCACCTTCTCATCTTCTGTAACAGCTACAGTTTCAATTTTCCCACTAAAATACGGAAAAGCAAGTGGCTAAAAATTACCATCGGAAGATTCCATGGATACAAGCTCCTCCTTTATAGATATGTCAGGAAGCGAACTTACATTCTAATAGAAGAAAACGTCAGATCAGTATTTTATTGATCAACATTAAACTGTGAAAGTTATGAAGACAGCAGTAAAGATACCAAAGTGGTGTTCGGTTTAGCAGAAACTGTGACTTTCTCGCCGATCTCGTTCTTGAACGCAAAGTCTGCTGCATCACATTTAAGACATTCCAGGACAGCAACAGACGTGGTGTCATACTCCGGTGGCAGTTTGGAGAAGTCAAATTCCTAAAAATTCTAGCGTAACTTCCGCTGAAGTTTTAAAAATCCAATCTAACAGCTTCTAATAAAACAGGTTTATTCAGTTTTAATGCATATATTTTCTTCTTTAGTAATCAATGTGAAAAAATTGTAAAATATCGAAGTTAAATGATGATTTTTTATTTGTTGCCTAGTGCGTTTTTTCACTGCAGGGTATTATCTAAAATAAAACCATAACGCTGTCGAGATATTTGCAAAACTTCCGACCGCAGGTGTCTGCGGTGGTGAGCGAACACACCATCACCCCTTCCGAGAGGTAACGCGTTCACCACCACACCATGCAGGTCCTTCGTTTCGTCTGTCTCTCAGCTAGTTTTTAGCCAGGTCAATCGCTTTGATGGGTGATCGCTGATGGCACTGGTCGATAGAAAACCAACCGAGAGACGGGGGAAACGAAAGACTCACACGATGTGGTGGTGAACGTGTTAGCCTCCAGAACAGGTAATAGTGCATTCATTCCCTACTGCAAAGACCTGCAGTCCACAGCTTTGCAAATATCTCAGCATCACTATCAAAGTTAAAATGGAAGTTATCTGAAAATTAAAATCCTTAAGTGATGCGGCACAACCAACGTTATTTTCAATATCTCGCCAAGATTTTGGGAGAACACCTCGACCTCTGTTAGCAATCAGTTGATCAGTAAAACTGTCATTGCAGACTTAGTGAGACAGGAAGCAAAGCTTAAGTTTTGGCAAGTTGAACAGAATATCGCCTAAGTTCCTCATACCACGCAGCACCAAAAGTATGCATAAAATTTGATAGCTAGTGTGAAACTGCGGGATAATTCCTGTTCGATGGATCGATGGACTTGGTAATTGTTTTGCATGTGCTACGAACGTAGATGCTTGAGTCGTTCGTAAAATAAAATTTGACAAGAACTTCAACTAAGGGGTCCTATCAATTCCACACGATAAACGTTGAACTCGCTAATCTAGGTTATAACATAAACGCAGGACTGTGGCTTCGTTTTAGAAGATTGGGTAAAACACTTTGGTTTCGAACAGCTACAAGCCATTCGGTGACCTGACTGAAGGATATGTTGCCGTCCTGAGGAATCGCAGTAGATAGACTGCTAGCTTTCCCTCAACACCTAGGAACCAGTGACTGCTTGTGGTGAAGATGGAGAAGCACTCTAGCACAACTCGATTGTGATCTTAGATAAAAGAACCACTCTTACCCGGTATTCACCAGTTCAGTAAGGAAACATGACTGATTCTCAGAACTACTATACGAGCCAAGTCATCTCATACGGTTATAGTTACAAGAGAACGAAACAAATGGAAGAAGCGCTCAGGACCTAATTAGAAGTGGGGATGAGTCATGCAACTACGCAAATAATTAAGTATAAACGTATATATACATACACTAACGTGTATATATGTATATATGTATACGTATATGCATATAGACACATGCATATATGCATTCACTGTTTCTCCATAACACAGCTATACCAAAAAACTTCACTACAAGTCGCATTTTCATTTTTCGGAAGATTTCCTAATAACCTGTTACTGTAGCTATTTGATTAGTGTTCTTAGAACCGTACGATGACGATAAAGCCGTTAAAACCATAAAAAAAGGATCCTACTGAACCATAACGCTTACTGTTTCTTGTACTCCTCCTAACGGTTTACCGCCTCATCGTGGCTGGGAAGTGTTCCTGGGTGTCGGACTGCGATGTACAGCGGGGAATTCTTCTCACTGGTAGGGTCTCCCAAGCTGAGGACTCCGGCGTTTCCAACAGGAAGTCTAGCTAATAGTAAACCAATACCAGGATCCGCCACCGTCCTGGAATCAAAGTCTCACGGCGGCAAATCTCCCTCTGATCCACAAGGGATGCGACTGCCCGTGGTGGTGAAGAGCTAGGGCAGATTTTTGCCAGGCTGATCTCGAAACTCCAGAGAACCACAATGGCTTAACCAGCAAATCTCCGAAAAATGGTGATTATGCAGGGGTCCGCACAGCCAGTGACGGGCCGTTCAAGTGTCAAGTGTGTTTCTTGTACTGCAGTTACGGAGCTCCACCATAATGAAAACAAACTTGATACGTCTCCTTTCTAAGTTATCTACTTAGCTCTAGTGCTCTTTCTGTAACTTTAAAACCACTGTTTTGATTACAACGGATTTCAGAGATAGCCATGAAAACGAGTTACTTGAGGCAAAACAAGTGCACCTACTAACGGGTTACCACCTCATCGTGGCTGGGAGTTGTTCCTAAGTGTGGGGCTACGATGTACAGCGGAGCGCTCTCGGGGGCGCCTCGCAAAGCTGAGAAGAAATCCGTCACTTCCATCAGGAAGCCCAGATAAGAGTAAAACAATACCAAGATCCATCTGATCTACAAAAACAGCGACTATTTGTGGTGGTGACGACCTGGGGCAGACTTTTGCCAGGCTGATCTCGGGACTCCAGGAAATCACAATAACTAACCCAGCAAAACTCTGAGAAAATGGAAATTACGCTAAACCAGCACAACAAGTGAAGACGGGCCATCTAAGTATAAGAGTAAGTAAAATAAGGGTAAAAGTACATCAACCGCCCTGATCCCACTGATAATCCCCAACTATTTCCAAGAAAGGAAAAAATGGACTTTCGGTGGCCTGCTGAGTTGCAACATACAATACTTACTACAATTTGGAACAGTGGTTGTTATTCTGCAAAAGAAATTTTAGTTAATTTGAAGCGCATAAGTGGAATACTGCAAGGAAATCAAGTAGTTTCCTGAAAACATGCCATAATCTGCCTTTGCTGCTTCGCCTTTTGCGGGACCACATTCGTATTTTTCATCTTTGAGACGGGACGATTCTCAGGCGATGGAGAGTACCTGTAAGAAAGGGTTGGAAATTCCAACGATAGCAAGAAATGAAAGAAAGGACATACCGACGTATTGCCGAATGGCGAGGACGAGTTGCTGAAGTGGGTTTCGAGAAAAGTGAAGAACCTGCGTACTCCACTTCTGAATGCAGCAGAGCGCAAGATGTTCGTCTACGTTTACGCTTCACGTCTGATTCACTTCTACAACTGGCAAACAAGTCTATTGAAAATGTGACACGAAAGCTCAAGGAAATAAACGCACGCTACAGTCCGGGGAAACGTCGTGTTCAACGAATTCGATGCCTTGTTTGTTCCAGGACCTAACGACAACCGTGGAGAAGCACGTCGCTTTGTCCCTGACCAAAAGGCTTTCCGAGAGATCATAACAGATGTCACAAATAAAAAATAGTGTTTCTTCATTCACAAAAGAAAACATCTAATTCATCTTCCAATCAGTTCCTCGTTGAAGAGCAAAATTCACATTAAACTGTTGACAGAAATGAATTTCAAAGATATGAAAATGACCGAAACTACTGAATTCATAAGCGGAACACAAACCGGAACGATGAACGGATTTCGGTTGACCACCGTTGCTCTTCATTCTCGGAACCGAAATGCTGAAAGCGTCCCACTTAATTCAGACAATATAACGTGCCCATCTGTAGCAATCAAATTTCAACAGACCTGTCTACGTGGTAATCCTCGTCCTGATCTGCTTCCACACCAACAGTGTTAGGTGAAATACCGCTTAAGTTCAAATTAGCTCCCAATTCCATGTGATCGCCGTATCCTATCACACACGCATTCAGGGTTAAAGAATGACATCAACGAGATGAGGGTGATTTTAGGACGACATCACTGGGAAACGTCAGAGGAGATGAAGAGAGAGAGGTCGGTAATGACTGAAAGCTTGACCTGCAGAATCTGAACATGCCAAACATTCTCGGATTGAGCAGCTCTGATCCTCTAGCACCTCTGAGATTTAACACACTACAACTATCAAAAATAAGGCCAAGTTCCGCCCATTGCTAGAGCCAAAGACGGTCAACAACAAGAATATCCGAGAATTTCGAAAATAATTCTGAGACATTCTGGATTGTGAGTGCATCACACGGCACATATGATGGTTGTACCTATGTAAAACTAATCCAGAAAAGATTCCCTGCGGAAGAAATTCTCCGAACGATTGAAACACGGAGAATCCAAATTCCTTAGCACGTAGTATTTCAGAAGTGGTCGGCATTTCGACAAAAAAACGCGCTCTAATGCTAGCGCGCGTTCTACACGGAAATGGCTGAACACTTATGGGTACTTTCTCCTTCACTACGCTGTATTAATAGCTGAGTTGGCCAAGCGTGTAGTTCTCACGCGTGTCCCGGTGGATTTTTGTAGCAATGTGGACTGTAGCTTCTGTTTTTTGTGCATTACGAACTCTCTGTCACTATGATATCCCAAGCAGTTTGGTCCGATGCTCGCTAGCGCGGTCCAAGGTAGTAAGTGCGAGCCAAACGCGTAGCCAGAGCGTCCATCAATATTCCCTAGACGTAGGTGATCGAATGCATGATTTCCACATCCTTGACGAATGACTCATACGAACATCGGTTCATTGGTATGCTCGCAGGAGTGGGGGGAATTTTCCCTTAAGAGCCAAAGAACTGCAGTCAAGGAACTGTGCTAAGGGGGCGTTTTGGGGATGGTTCCGACAAGGAGGTCTGACCTCTGTTCTGGGAGCCTTTCTGGTCACCTTTTCGCTAACGCTGGTACAAAGTGAACTTCATATTAAAAACACAGGTCCCTCGGTGTACCGCAAAGGCGGGCCATTGAGAGTATCACTAACACAGGAAGGAAGTAGGACTATCAGTATCCACTCGAGCTAAGCAGTGGTAGATCTTAGGTCATACAGGTGGTTTCTATTACAGTGGTAACCGCTAAAAGCAAAATTGTCCGGTGATTATAATGTGATCATTGCTATACCAGCGATCGATAGCCTGTTTAGGGTTGGGCAAATCTGTAGCTCCTGGACCTCTGCGGTCTGTAAGTGATACTGACTAGTTTGGGAGCCATTCTCCTTCCAAACTCTCGGAGTGGGTGCGCCATGGGTAGTATTTAGCTCCATGTCACAGGGGAAACATTGCTATTTGGCAGGTTGTAAATTCATACAGTAGGTTATTCGTGGATGTTAGCCAGTTAGATGATCAGACCCCCTGGGCTTTGGAATTTCGCCTGTGTTAAACAAAACTGCTTGTGGCTCCATAATATTAGCTCGTGGGAAAACAAGCAATAACAATTTGTTTATTGCTCGCTAACGACAGAATACAACAAAATCTCCAAAAATTATTTGAATATGATGTACTTTCTGAACCCTCAAATCAGCTACCAAAGTAAATGCTTGCTGTTTCCTTCGTGATTATTAGTTTTATCAACACTTGAGATTGTTTGATTAGGTGACTAAGGATAAAATATAGCTCCTTATGTGCAGATGTAATGGTAGGCGCGTGTAGCGCAGTGGTCGGAGGCGCCCTACAATACACATTGAGTCGATCCCTTCACCATTGCCCACCAAACCTTTCATATCTCTGGGGTCGGCAAATTGGTACTAGACTTTTCTGGGAGGATAGCAGCACTGACTGGATAAATCGGTAGACATTGTTAACCACTGTAAAGCCGAGATGCGCATTCAGTGATCTCCAGCGATGCTAAATGAAGTCGAATGCATGGCGTATCCCTTAGGGATTGATCAACACCGAGCGCCTTATCCTTTATTTTATACTGATATGAAGTATCTCTTAATAGCACTATATCTGTCGAGACAATTAGAATCGCTGAATAATACTCTGCAGATTTTTCCCGCTGGCAATATAGTGCAAGTGTCCCTCAATCTGGCCATTTCCAAATGCATGTCGGTTCTCTTCAGGTGACCCTTAGCGTCGGTTTCGAGAATTTCTTATAGGAATCTCTTCGTCATGGCTCCTACTGGAGCGTTTGAGAGCCAGAAAAACAAGGAACATCGAGGTTTGTATTGTATAACACTTTCAAAGAAGCGGATTTCTCCGTCTTCTCTACATCTGTTGCAAATGACACGACTGATGTCGTTTCCAGTTCACAAGACAGGAGGAAAGGCAAGTAAACTGAAAGAAAGAACTAAGGTGAAAGGAAACAATGCCAGGGCTTTCACGTTCAAGTCGGCAGTCGCTGCCAGTAAAGCCATCAGAAGGTATGTTTATCTACTTATAAGTAAATTCCACTTGCCTCTATGAGGATGTAGTGCAAATGACCTGGTCCAGAGCTGCTGACATCAATGAACGAAAGAAGCATATCCTGTTTATGGACAGGAAGCCTGTCGTTCCTCCACCGATTATCGTTGCGATTGTTGGGCCTAACAAGGTTTGGTTCGGAAGCAGAACTTTGGCGGATTTTTATTCCAATATACAGTACATATACCTTTGTGGCATACTTTTTCAGGTTGGCAAGACTACTCTCCTTCGCGGGCTGGTGAAATACTACCTCAAGAGTGGTTTTGAAGAATTGAAAGGTGATCAGTTTTCTATATGGTTTAAAATTTAATGTTTTAAAGAGTTCACGATTTTTCCTAACCATTCAAAGATATACTGAAAACAGGACCTGTAACTGTCGTAACGGGAAAGAAGCGTCGGGTCCAGTTTATCGAAGTTAAGAATGATATTAATCACATGATTGATATTGCAAAAGTGGCTGACTTGGTAAGTAAAGTAAAAAGACAAATCCTTTGCGCAAATAATAAGTTGCTGGTGTTACAGGTCTTACTGATGGTAGATGCTTCGTACGGTTTCGAAATGGAGACATTCGAATTCTTGAACATTTGCCAAGTCCACGGGATGCCACGTGTGTTGGGAATTCTCAATCATTTGGATTGTCTGAAGGGGATATCAAAGGTGGGGAACATCTACAGAATTGTAACTGATTGCGCAGATATGGAACAGGTTCTTTTTCTCATGTTCTTTCCCTGTCGTGTTTCGGAAAGTACCCTTAAAATAGACCTCGAGCTACGTTGTCACATTTTGTTTGTCACGCTTACTGACTAGAATACACAGTTTCGTCATGTCCTTTTGTATTTCTTTTAGGTTAACAAAGTGAAGAAAGTTATGAAGCATCGGTTCTGGACTGAAATTTATCAGGTATGTCCTCGCTGTTCTTGTCAACAGTAGTTTCCTTCAGTTTATTCGAGGTATATATTGGCAATTTCAGGGTGCAAAATTGTTTTACCTCACTGGAATGATTCATAACGAGTATAAGAAGAACGAGATTCACAATCTGGTACGCTTCATATCAGTCATCAAGTTTCGTCCATTGGTATGGAGGGACTCGCATCCATACATCTTGTGTGATCGTTATGAGGATATCACCGATGTTGAGGTACGTGTTCATTTAAAGGTGGAGATATAATAGTATACGGTTTACTTTCCAACGGTTTACCTCCTCGTCGTGGCTGAGAAGTGTCCCTGGATGTTAGGCTGTGATGTACAACAGGGGAATTCATCCACCCGGTACGGCCTCCCGAGCTGACAAGGGGTCCGGCGTTTCCATCAGCAAGCCCGGCTAGGAGTAAACGAATACTAGAGTATAGCCCCTTCCAGGTGTCAAACTAGTCGCATGGTGGAAAATCTCACTCTGATCCACAAGAGCTGCGGCTGCCTATGGTGGTGAAGACTTGGGGAAGACTTCAGCCAGGCTGTCCTTAGGATCCTAGGGAACCACATTAGCTTGACCAGCAAATCTCCGAAAAATGGTGATTATGCTGGGGCCCGCACATGCAGTGAGGGCAGGCCGTTCGAGTATCAAGTAAGTGTCAAGTATTTGTGCTTGCTAATTTGGTATCATCTTTCACAGGTTCTTCGCACCTCTCCTACAGCCGACAGAACTATTTGCCTTTATGGTTGGGTGCACGGTGCACATTTCAAGCACCACAGTGCGATACATATTCCGGGTGTCGGTGATTTGCGTGTGAAGGAGGTTTGTCCTCTTAGCGATAGCATCTGTTGTGTAGACATTCCATTGCTCATTGTGCGTACTCTTTTTTACTGCCTATGGCAGGGTATGATTTGATATATAGTCGGAATGAGGCTGACATATTTACAAAACTCCAGACCGCAAGTGTCTATGATGGAGACTGAACACTCGGTTACCCCATGCGGGGTTAACGCGTTCACCAACACGTCTTGCCACTTCATCGTTTCACGTTTCTATCAGCCGTGTTTTTAACTTAGGTGCTATCAGCAATCTCCCGTCAACAGCATTGATTTGGGGTCTAAATCGGCAGTGAACCCAGTTAAGTAGAGGCTATAGTATAAATCTCAACTGCTTTTTATTTACTGCCTATGGCAGGTTATGATTTGAAATACAACCACAATGCGGCTGAAAGAAAGGCGAAACAATGGACACGCATGGTGTGGTGGTGAACGCGTTGGCTCCCTGGAAGGGTTCGATCGGCACCGCATACACCTGCGGTCTGAAGTTTTGCAAATGTGTTAGCCTCATTACGGTTATCTTCCATTACTTGCTTGCATACTTGGTCCACCCGTCATCGTAAGTAGTGCAAGCTTCCATAAATTTTGAATTTTTTTGCCTCGATATTGTCGTCCATGGAGGTAGTCTGCACCGAGTATGGTGTAATGTGCGAATACCACTCGTGATCTATAAACCGTTTATAGCTGGGAATACAGCTGATTTATTCTGACCATAAACGCTTCCTCCTTTCACGTAGGTGTTTCCTGTAAAGGATGCTAGCATTTCCTTGGAGTTCGTGTCATTGTTCTTTTTGTTTATTTGTTGTCGACTGTTTTAAATGGAAGACTGGTCAATCAATGTTTCCTTTCGATTTACATTCTTAACTTTCTGATGATTCGATGACTTTCAAGAATCCGAAGTGCTAAGTGCAGATCATTTAAGCATTCTGTGCGTGGCGCCAAGATTTTTTGGCAGGATTGGAATTTGAACTATATCTCTGCTTTTAACAGTTCCCAAGATCGGCTTTCTATTCATTCTTAGTTTTTTGGAATTTTCCCAAAAAGCCTCGAGAAATTTGCGCGTTGGTGTTTTAGTCACGCGTGCGATGATAGCGACTTTTACATGAAAATTTTCTCCTGTATGTTTTTGTATCCTATGCGTGCTTAGTGGCATGCCTTGTTTTGATTTTTATTTGCCATCTAGGTGTTCTTTTATGCGTATGCATAAAAATCTTTCCATTTGGCCGATATATTCGTCTCCGCAAGTACTACAAAAAATCAGGTATGTCGTACCTGAGCTCATGCAGTCACCGTCCCTGCCGTAACGACAAATTGCGCAAATTGGTGTTTCACATAGACGGTCATGCAGGCGGTTACGATTAATTAACTAACTTCTAACTGACGGCGGTAACTTTTAACTTTTTATCTTTTAACTTAACTGGCGGTTACTAACTGACGATTGATAATGATATTGATATTTTGTTATAAAAGTCATCATCGCACGGGGGACTGAAAACACTAGCGCGCAAATTTCTCGAGTCTTTTTGGATAAATTCCAAAAGTCCGAGAATGAATAGCATGGAAGAATGCCTTGAGATAACACGTGATCTAGCCCCGTATCTCGGAACTGTTTTTTGATGTGGGGTGGTGCAGCAATCAACTATATGCGACTCTAAGCGACTGTTCTTGGTGGAAAACAGATGAAAACGGTTGGTTTTTCGAGAAGTCGGTGATCGTATAATTATTGTTCAGATTTCTATCTTTCTGTTTACGTTATTGAAGCGTTTGACCTAGCAAATTACGTATTATTTCGAAACCGACTTTCCTTGAATTTCAATATCACTAATCAATATGTATTCTTTCTTTGATAAGCTTACACGAGGTTGATAATGATATTTACTCATTTTCGGCTAACGTTTCGACGTCTTCGTCTTCCTTCATGATCCGAGTCGATGGTCCATGCTTGTTGTTCGTCTCGACGTTGCAGCTTCGCTTTCGGGTCGAGTCAGGTCTTCCTCAGTGAGCCATCTTCTCGAATGAGGCATCTTCGAAATATTACCACGCTTTGTGTTAGCTGATAATAACACCGACTTCTGCAGGTTTGACTGTGGGAAAAACAAGTTATTACCACACTATAACCGGACAATCACAGCTATCCACCATCGGCAACCTGCTTAAAAGGGCATCACTCGAGGAGATGGTTCGCTGAGGAAGACCTGACTCGACACGAAGGCGAAGTTGCAACGTCGAGACGAACAACAAGCATGTACCATCGACTCGGATCATCGACTCTGAGGAAGACGAAGACGTCGAAACGTTAGTCGAAAATGAATAAATATCATTATCAACCTCGTGTAAGCTCATCAAAGAAAGAATACATATTAAATTACATATTAGTGTACCCTTCTGGGCTCTGAAGAAAGCGATGCTGCCGAAACGTCAGCTACCGTTGTGTTGTATGTGTTGTATTTGTGAGGAATTAAACGTGTGCTGAATAACAACCCTGCGATAGCTGCAAAAAAGAGAACAACAGTTTTATATCTCTGCTGTATATGGAAGCGCTAGAGCACTTTTGAATCAAAAAAGTGAGCACGAAATTTTGAGTCCGTCAGATGATCGGTAGGTTCATTGAGTGGTCCGAACGAAGCCCTTGCTGTTCTCCCTCTTCCGCATAATTTCCACCTATTGTTTTATATGTCCACTGGATCCAAAAGTTCTATTGTTTATTCTGACGCAAGTCCTACTGCAAAAATCGTTTTTTCCTGGACGAACTCTTGAACTGAATTCCTGTTTATTTGCGCCGTAGATTTGAATAGAATCTTCGTTCGAAGTCGATGGTCGTATTCAGTGAAGAATTATGGAACTGAGGAGGTATGAAGCGGGCGGGATCTTATTTCTTTAACTGTTTTGTTGAATTAGATGTATGTTATGCCATTAGGTGAATTCTATGTCCAGCAGCGATTTTCTCTCATGTAAAGCAGAATTTTATAGGAAGAGGAATATTGTGGATGAGAAACCTTCAAAACGGTTTCTGCTCACACTTCGGTTTCTTGTTCCAAATTTCCTGGTGAAGCTTTTCTTCTTCAGAAAAACACTTATGATAAGATAGTATCCAAGCAGATCATCTCCGTCTCTTAATTTAACAATTTTCCAATCTCAGAATTAAAGAAAAAAGTTGTTATTATGAGTTGCTAGATGTAAGCCCAAATTACTGATAATTTCCCTTTTTAATACAACCACTACCCAATATCAAGAAAAAAAACTTAAATATCAGTTGTTTAGCTGAGCAGTATCCCCGATCCTTGCCCTCTTCCTGAACAGCTGAAACAGCGTGCGCTTAACCAGCAGGTTCAGTTTACCATTTGGCAGCTTCGGTTTCACTTTGCTTTGACATTTTTATTTTTCTTTGGACTAAATTGATAGCTTTGCCCTATTTACGCTTCTTACAGGAACGAATGGTGTATGCGCCTTTTTCTGGTCTTGGTGGTATCGTCTATGACAAAGACGCGATATATATTCAAACCAAAGCTCATAAAAATATGGACGTATGTGCACGTAGCTTTGCTCATCTCAGGTTTACTAGATGGCGAGATTATATGGCGTTTTAGAAAAGACGTCATTAATATTTAGCCACTAAATTTATATTTTAGGGGAAACGTCATGAATTAGTGAAGGCCATGGAAAATGTGAAATCAACAATTGATGGAAAGCTCAGTGGATCAAGATTAAAACTTTTAGGAAACTCTCTTCCCATCGAAGGAAGTGATGGTGAAGAGGTAAGTGCTACGGTAACATTCTGAGATTACCTTCATGGCTTACCAAGAGAACCTCTGCAGTTATCTGACTTTATCTCATGCCTCAGTCTTTTGGAATACGTCGTACATGTAATGAATTTTTTCACGGCCTACCAAATTTTTCAGTGCAATATAGCCATTTTTAAAACCGCACTGTTAAGCGCAGTCCTTGATGATGTATGGTAGTTTCAGTAGATGTGATGTATGGTGATTCAGCATAACTTCTTTATAAAAATCCTTTATATTTTGTTTTGAGAATCACATGTCTTCCCGTTCATCGTTGATATACTCAAGCAGGTGTCACTACTCTCTTTTCTCCCTATCAGGGTTAAGTCAATGAGTTCTATTCGCTCTTTTGAACGAAACATTTTTCTTATAAGATTGTTAAGAATTCTGTTCATTGAGTTGTTGGTCTTCCGACTATACTCTTACTTTGCAACAGCGATCTAACTGCTGTTGTCACCTGTGTTTGTGTTTAAAACCTACCATCTTCTCAGTCCATGTGATTTCAAATATTTTAGTACGTAGAAAGGTCGTTTTTTGATCGCTAACGTAGGTTGGAACTTCGGATTTCCTTCCTCGCATAACGTGGGCACTCCTAGTGTTATCCTGGCGATTAAGATATCTATCCTTTTGGATTTGACCCAAGAATTTCCTTCATATAAGAGATCTTTAGCCGATTAGTCGCGACACTACGTGACGCGTCTCTAAGTGGCGAATAAGGGGTTAATTGCGGACCAAATGCGACTTTTGCTTCTCTGAGATGCAAATGGATCCAGGAGATGGTCTCCCTGTTTCTGATGCTCTGATTTGACGCATACCTTTTATATTTACGAAAAGGTATTCATGCATTCATATGTGGGTGTGTTCTCGTTCATGCAAACTGCATTAGACGAGTCAGTTCGGGCAAAAGCCTGCAATCAGGTGACAGGGAAGCATATGGGGACGGTTAGGAGTCGCCAACGAGAAATAAGCTTCATGTTCACTTTGGGAGAGCCTGGCAAGCTACCCGTGAATCTACTCAGATCCCACGTTCAGAGCTCAGCAAGCTATACGTGGGTATCAAAAAGCTGAAAATAAACCATAAGAATATACTTATCATTGCAAATGAGAAGCAAGTTGACTTATATTAGTTGCCCAAAATTCTGAAATTATGGAAGGGATGAAATTGCCGAAGGTGGTTTCGGGTCGTTTGTTTCTGAAGCATTCCTCAGGCAGGAACTTTTCGAGTGAAGCGTCATCAGTTGGTCTGTTGACCGTGCATTATTGTACAGAAGGACTTGTCCGTTTTTGGACATACTTGTCCGCAGTAGTCGTTTCACTTGTATCCAGGGAGTTGAGATGAATCAGATTAACTGCAAACCACCATATTGTTAGCTTGGAATTCTTTCAAGGCAATTTCGGCTTTCGGAAGTGCTGTGGATCTTCGTTGCCGTCCAACCACTGAATGGATCGTCGCCGGTAATCATGGAGGAGCCATTTTTAGTGGCACTTCACAATATCTCAAGAAACGCGTAATTATGTTTGCGCGAAACAAGTGCCATCAAAACCTGAAGACGGGAGTATCCAAGAGAGAAGTCTTGTAGCCCAAGGAGAATCACGGTCGACCAGCAATCAACAAAAGTCTTGAAGAATACAAAGTTCTCAACGTACCGCGCAACGTATGTGCTATTTCGAACATCTTCATGGGTGAGGACTGCAAGGTAAGAGATGAAACTTGTTTCGTTGATCAACCTCTGCCGGACGCGCTGTGCATTCGACTTCACTAAGCACTGTTAGAGGGTATTGGATTCATATCTGGCTTATACAATGACTTGCGGACCCACCAATATACGAAGCCAGTGCTGTTACCTGATGCTCTATGAAACATTTGTTTTTTCCTAACCCACTCTAAATCTTGTGTTGATCCAAGCATTCATTGCATTGTTTTCGTTATCTCCAATCCGTACTCCACGAAAGTCTTCGGGTTTGCATGTGGATCCCACCACTCCAGAATATTACCGTATTCGTGATTGTTAACCGCTGTATGAATTGATTCTGCCTCACATCGTAAAGTAGTAGGTCGTTTTCAGGTCGTCGTCGTATGGAGTCTCCATCCTTTTTGGATAAGTGAAGTTTCATTCCTAGACAAATCTGGTACCAATATCCCCACCACGGAGGATGGAGGGAGCTTGTTAGTCCCAATTCGAAATCGTGATAGCAATAGTGCATGTATTGCACGACATCTTTAACCGCACCCGTTTCTTATGCCCACGTGTTAAACATATTTTGGTCCTAAAATTTGACAGTGGCTCGTAACACTCTTCATACATTGTATAATCATATTAAAATTGTAGCTTACGAAACATGCAAGAGTGCTGCTTGTTATCAAAATATTTCCATCATCAGCAAATCTAGGCACATTGAGATTTTTTCGATCTTAACTGGGAATTTGGGAGACGAAAATCCGCCTTTGTTCAATCAAAGCATGCTTTAAAGGTTCATTTTTGAAGAATGACGATGACCCTGGGTCGGAGTCATCGGATGAGAGTTCGACTGAGGATGGAATGCGGTCGGATTCAGAAAACGGTTTGAGACAATCTTCCCATTGCGAGGAAACCTTCGGAGCAATGTTATGCCGTTCGGATAGTAGTGTGCGTCCATTCATTCTAATCGAAGGTTTATTTTTTGCTAAGTATTAAACATTTTTTTATTTCTAGGACATGACTGACTATATGGCCATCAGTGGACCTTCACGCGCATACCGTTCTGATGATTGGAACGAACTTACTCAGAAAGCTCTACTTCAGTACTATCCAAAACAGCAAATTCGGCTCAATTGGATGAATGAAGTCTACGGAAAGGGCAAGCGGAGTCGTTGAATCTAATCACTACTCATCATTTTCACCACTTTTTTATCACTGTTGTGAAATCTCAGTTCTAATATTAAGCCTTATATAAGAACAAGTTGAATAGCTTACATTTAGATGATGTAGATCCGAATGAAAGCGATGAACATATAGTTGGTGGTTTATTCATGATTCGAAATACTACGAAGAAACCTATCTGCCACCAGGTTTGTTTTTCATCTCCATCATTTCCCTTAAGTAGCGTGTTGTACTAATACTATCATATCGATAACTGTATTATTTAGGAAGATGGCTTTATGTGGCGTCAGTGTGTTTCTAGCGCTTTCTCTAGTGGTGCACTAGATTGGAATAAAGAAGATACTCGTATCTCTATTTCCGATTGTTTCGTAACAGGGACATGGACAGAAGATGATACAATCGAAGAAAAACTCAAAGGCAAATTCACTTTATGATCTATGTGTCTATTTAATTAAACGATGATCTTGTAAGCTTACAATGCAGGTGACATTGACATGGGCTCAAATGCGGACACTGCCACTGAGAACGAAGCAGAAGCCGGTGATTTTGTTAGCAGTATCGCACATAGATTTTACTTTTTAAGTTTGTTGCTTTAATTTCCTTTTCCAGATGAGAAAGTTGGTGCGTCTGCTCTAGAGCGAGCTGAAACTGCAGCTCGTGAAAGACGTGCTGAAGAAAAGATCAGATTGAAGCAGCGATTCAATGATGACTATGATGATTCATGTAAACACTACAACACTCTCAAAGTAACTAAAACTATCATTTCTTGTTAATACTGTTCATACTTGATTTGTCGTCAGTGGTCTATCTTAACGAACGATCGTGCGGGAGTAGAAACAATTCCCTTCTGGATGGTTTTTTGCTGATCGGCTAGATTTACTTTCGTCGCAGTTGCCATACTTACTTACTTGCATACTTGGACGGTCCGTCTTCACGAACTGTGTGGACGCCAGCACATATGCCATTCGTTCCTTTCTCTCGCAATTGTAGTCCATGGTGGTGGTGTTCTTTGAGCATGGCAGTGCTTGCAAGTCTCATACCGTGATCTGTAAAACAACTTCAACTGCGGGTACAGCTGATTAACTTTGTTTACGAACACGTCCGCCCAAAGTATAAGGGTCGTCCAAGAGGACGTTTGCATTCTCTTGGAGTCCACTCTACTGTTCTTTTCGTCCATCTGTCGTCAACTCTTCTCATTATGTGACCGGCCCATCTATGTTTCGCTGCCGATGTACATTCTCGTGGATCTCGAAGATGTGACAGGTTGCGAAGATCATAACTTCGCATTCTGGCTACATATCGAGAGTGTTGGTTGCATTTCAAAAGAGATCGCTCAAACACTCTGTGAGTAGTGCGAAGCATTCTTGACGTAGTTGAAGTATCAACCCACGCCTCTGCAGCATAACAGCGTGCTGGGAGGACCGTAGAATCAAAGAGATGAGAGCGGTTTTTCGGGTCCTTCAGTTGGTCGATGGCTTCTTTGAGAGGTCCGAATGCGTCCCAAGCTGCTCTCCTTCTTCTATCTAGTTCTTCATTCATGTTGTGTTCCATGTTCACTAATCGCCCAAGGTAAACGTACAAGGTGGTCTCTGCAATGAGAGAGCCATCCAATTCAATTTTTTCGCCTTCGCACCATGGGTTTTTCATGAAATGGGTCTTCTTTCGATTTATGCGAAGTCCGATCTTTTCCCCACTTCGTTGAGCTCGTTGATAGTCACTTCTGCTTCGCTAGTACTTCCTGAGAAGATAACAGTGTCCGTTGGCAAAACGAAGGTTTGATAGGAATTTTCCATCAATGCGTATGCTTTTCTCATCCCAATCGAGTGACTTCATTACCCAGTGAAGTGCAGCACTGAACTGCTTTGGCGATATTGTGTCGCACTGTCGAACCCCTTTTCCTATGGATATGGTAAGAGGTCGATGGAAAAGCTGTATTTTCGTAGTGCAGTCCGAAAACAGTCGGACAGAGTTCTTATGTAGGACGGCTCCTCTCCTTGGTCGATGAGCTCTGATAGGATTGCATTCGTTTCGACACTGTCAAACGCTTTTTCGTAGTCGACAAAGATTAAGACTAGAGGCAAGTGGTATTCCTGACACACTTTAATGACCCTCGACGCGGTTTGGATGTGGTCCATGCAGCAAAATCCTTTTCGCAATCCTGCTTGCTAGACTGGTTTCGCTTCATCCAATGTCCTTGATATCCGCGAGAGGATAATCTTCGTGAAGAGCTTGTAGAGTACACTTAACAAGCATATGGGATGACAGTTGCTTACGAAGATTCTTTCGGTCACCTTTCCTGTGTAGGATAACCGTGCTCGACAACCTCCACTGGTCTGGGATTTTTTGCTTTTGAAGGTAACCTGTCATATGATTTGCGAGGAGTACGCCTAAATTGTGGCCTGCAGCTCTAAGGAAATCGACAGTGATATTATCGGGTCCTGGAGCTGTGCCTCTTTTCATGATTTCTATCGCAACTCGAACCTCCTACGGAAGAATTCCAGGTGGCTTTTCTCCAGCGGGGATATTAGGGCCCGGGACAGGGATTGTGGAACGAAAAAGATTGGTGTGGAACGTTTCCGCTATGAATTCCATATCTTAGCGGGAAGTTTTGACGATCCCATCTTCATTCATCAGGGCTGAGAGCGGAACATTATAATCACACAAGTCCAGACGGCACTTTTTCAGACTGCTTCTTTTCTCTGCTGCTTCCAGTATTTTCTTCTGCTTGTACCGTTGTAGATCTTCCTGCAAAGCTCTTCTGCAGGTGGCATTTATTATTAGCCATGTTAAAGGTTTTGTAGTAGAATAAAGCTTTAGTTTCCTTCTCTTTTCGAGCAACTCCTTAGTACTGATGGAGATGCGATCCGATCTTCTTGCTTGAGGAACTGAGGCTAATTCGACCTAGCTTTTTCAGTCCTTCGACAAGCAGCTCGTAGTCTTCGGTCGGGTCTTCCTTAATCGACCAGTCATGTTTGGATAGGACTTCGTTCAGAATGTTCTCGTCGTATACAGCTAGACTTTTTCCTTGTGGTCGATGAAGAGAGCTCCTTACCAGTTTGCGGCTGTATCGAATCTTTGCGCGAAGGTGTTGATCGGAACCAGTACGGAATGATGGGACTACTGATGTGTCAAGTGGACACCATTTTCTGTTTGTTAGAATATGGTCGGTCTCCGCATGAGTTATGCTGTGGGAAGACTCCCATGGAAGAGACGTGCTACAGACAGGAGTCCTGCGAGACGGTTCCCATTCTCATTTCTTTCTCCTAACCCAAAATTTCCGATCCTGTATTCGCTCTCGTTGCCCTTTTCTATTGCCATACCTTATCAAATTGTCACCATAGGTGCCACCATTCTTGTGAATGGGAGAGGTTTAGCATATTGCAAGTAGGTTCCTGTGATATGGGTATGTGCTTAGTCGTGCTCACAGATATAAATTTCATGTTGCTAAGCTTGAGAGTACGTGAGGGAAAGAACCTTTCATTATACCTCGCAGGTTAATGCTATGGTACACCCAGCCATGGTGGGGCGGTAATCTATGGAGGAGTTGCTGTCTGTAGTTGGTAGATGGTTGATTTATATGCATAATGGAAATCAAGTTTCTGTCTACGTTAGGTTTTATTAATTTTATTATTATTTAACTATTAATTTTGCCTTTGCAGAGTGAAATGGAGGAGCAAGCTCAACTGAATAAAAGCATTTTCGAAGGCATGGATGAGAGCGAGAGAGAAAAGCTCGAAGGTTCACTACTCACAACTGGATTTAAACTTTTGTAAAGGTTGGCTTAGTCATTGGTAATGGTATAATTTAGGATTTCGTGCTGGTCGTTATGTTCGTATAGAATTAGATGGTGTGCCATGTGAGTTTGTTGACAATTTCGATCCTACCTCTCCCTATATCGTTGGAGGATTACTAACAGGTGAACAAAATATGGGTGTTGTACAGGTGAGAATGTTTTCTTGGACCCTTTTGTGTTTACTTGTTCACTTGCATCTGTTAAGGTGCGTATAAAACGTCACCGTTGGTTTGACAGAACCCTAAAATCTCGTGATCCGCTGATAATTAGCTGCGGGTGGCGTCGATTCCAAACCATAGCTATATATTCTATCCAGGTTACTTGCAATGGTAACTATTTCCTTAGCTAAACGTTGTTGCCTTAAATGCATATTCCAGGACCACAACATGAGACAGCGGTTTTTGAAATATACACCTGAACACATGCATTGTTACGCCCAGTTTTGGGGACCCATTGTTGCTCAGAATACTGGCTTCGTAGCCGTACAGTCTGTTGCAGATAAAACGGTTCGATTTTCCTTTTTTTTTCTGAGAGAGGAGACCCTATTTTGTTTCAAATTTAGCCAGGATACCGAATTGTGGCAACTGGAGTTGTGTTAAATCTTGAAAAATCTTCTGGTACTGTTAAAAAACTTAAACTCGTTGGAGTACCCGAAAAGGTGTTTAAGAACTCGGCTTTCATTAAGGCTAGTTACCTTTCATGTTGTTTTTACGATTATATTTTTAATCGTGTAACGTTTTTCTGTTTCCTAACTTTCAGGGAATGTTCAACACACAGCTAGAAGTTGCTAAGTTTGAAGGGGCTATCATTCGAACTGTGTCTGGTATTCGTGGCCAGATAAAGAAAGGCCTTCATGAACCCGCAGGCTCTTTTAGAGCTACTTTCGAGGATAAAATTTTAATGAGAGGTCTACCAAAACATGTTTCACCTACCCACTTTGAAGTTTTATAAGTTTAAGGTTTACATTAACTATGTTGTAAGCTACTAAGAAAAGAAGCTTTTTTACTGTCACAGGACCATGTATGGTTTTCCTACACTATTGCAGACATTGTTTTTTTACGAACATGGGTATCCGTACCAGTGCCTCGTTTATATGTGCCTATAATCGACCATTTGTTGCCTCCTGGAGATCCCTGGATAGGCATGCGAACAGTGGGAAAAATGCGTCACGATCTTGGTATCAAGCCCGAGCAACGGGAGGACTCACTCTATAAGGCACGTCAGTCATTAGTTGTGTGACGTTAAAGGTTGTTCTGCAATATTTTTAGTACCTTCTAGTGATCTATGTTATTGTTGATCGCATTTTCAGAAAGCTTTTGCGAAAGTCTTCGAAAAAAGTTAAACTCCTTAAAGGTTTTAAACTTTTAATTTCAACATATCTTACAAGCATACTTATTTGGATACTTGAACGGCCCATCCTCACTGGTTGTGCGGTCCCCAGCATAATCTCCATTTTTTGGAAACTTGTTGGTTTAGCCGTTGTGGTTCCTTGGAATCCCGAGGTCAACCTGGCCAAAGTCTGCCCCAGGTCTGCAACCAGTTTGATGCCAGGATGGTGGTGGATCGTGGTATTGATTTTCTATTTGCCGGGCTTCCTGATAGAAACCCCGTAGTCCTTCTCAGCTTGGGAGACTCTGTAGGAGGATGAATGCTCTCACTGTACGTTGCAGTCCGACACCCAAGAACACCTCACAGCCATGATGGGGATCTTCTCTCGTAAGATACGTTAATGGAATTAGAGACTGCCATGGTCTACACATGCTTGCCAGCGAAATGCACATTTCTTTATTCCACCTCGGTAGCACTTTGTGCTTCTAGAGGCATATATTCTGGGCAATTTTTCAACAGCGTTTTGGTTGTTGTAGTTTTTGCATGGGTGCTCAAAATTCATGGAATACTCTTGACAAGAGCTTCCCAAAGTGTGATGTGTGATGTAGAGTCTGCGGAGATTGCTCTGGGGTTGCCATGCACCAGAATTGTTGCTTTGTATACGAGAATAATGTTCAACATCTCGTAATTCTTGATGAATTTTGTCGATTTCGTCGCAGTGGTTCTCCAAAGTGGGGTAAGAATTCATGATGTGTAGTGAATAATTTTATTTACCTGTTAACAAACTTCATAATTTTCTGTCAACACAAGTATAGTTTTACTGTTTTGGCGGTTCAATTTTCCAGAACCCTAGGAAAAACAACGTCCAGTAATCATCGGTTCTTTTCTCTTCTTTTCGTAGTTAGAATGTTTGCAAGCTGTTTCTTCTTGATCTGCTTTAGGCCTTATTGGTTCAACACTTTTTGAACTAGTGGTGTAGACTTTCTTCATTCAATCTACTTAACAGATTCACAAATATATGCTATATATGGCTCACACAGAGGGGCACTACGGACCTTATAGGTGACGCTGACATCAGTAGAGGTATTGGAGAACTAAGCGTGATCCTACGAAAATTGGGAGAAGATCAATCATTGTGTGTCGTTGCAAATGTATTAAATGGTCACTGTCTGTCAATACTGCTGTACTCAAGGTACAACTCTTATCTACTGCCCATCAATTTTTCTTCACGGTACTGTATTATGTGAAGTATAACCAAAGTGATGCTGAGGTATGTGCAAAACTTGGACCGGCGACCAGATCGAACCGCGACTACTCTTTTCATGGGGTCACATGTTCATGTCATGGCATCACTGAGGCCTTCGTTCTGCATTTCTCAGAGTCAGCGTTTTTAGAAAAGTAATGAACAATGGATAAAACTTGTATATTGTGATTTTGATTACAGCCTCATCTTAATTGGATTTAATGCCGATTTGTGCTCCCCAGAACATTTCCGTTGAGAGGTGACTGCTGATGGCACCGTTAGGGTAAAAGAACTGGCTAAGAGAAAGGCAAAACGAGGGCTTCAGTGATGCCGTGCGTAACCCGTGATCCTCCAGAAAGAGTAATCTCGGTTCTATTTAGCCTAAGATCGAAGCTTTGGAAATATTTCACCATCATTGTGATTATCCTCAAAATTGTAATCTCCAGAGCAAGACTTTCGGTACTAAACTTGAGCCCTACGATTGCTAACGGTTCTGTGGCCAAATTCAGCGTATATAGCGTGAGCGGCTGCACATGTAAGATCCATTCCTTACAAAAAGTAGATCCAGTTCAATCTAGGCCTACTTCTATTTTGATGTTCTAAACTGGACTTAAATTAGCAAAGAACAACGATATAAAAATGTTTTTCGAAACGGTAAAAAGTGTAAACATTAAGACATACAATTTTATTTAGTAGTGAACGATTTTTTAGAGCTTATGAAGAGAAATTTGATTTTAATTATCGCGAAAACTTTTATAATTTCTCAAAACTGGCCGCTTCTTCACGTCGGCATAGATTTTAAAAATTGCGTTGTATTCTGGTTTATAGTAGAAACTATAATTTGTGTAATAGCAAATATTGTACCCATGAGGAAAATGGGCGAGTATCGAAAAGTCGATAATTCGCTGTTTGCATTTGAAAGGCAGTTATTTTATAGCCCATTGAGCGTGAAGAGTTAGAATCGACACCGCTTCATGTCCCTAATAAGCTCCAACGAAGCCTGCCATTCAAGCTTAAGCCCATATATGAAGAGGAACAAAGAGAGGTGATCAAAATTGCTTTCGGTCAATATCTTTCCTTTTCGTTCTGTGGTGTTTCGTGCAAAAATTCTGTGATCACTGGCGGAATTCAGAAGAAAGAACAACTTATTGTTAGAAACACAGCAGTGATACTGGAGCCAGAGGAGGCAAAAAGAAAACGAATGATGGATATGCTTAAGGCCATTAACAGGTACCTTGCGAGTTATATTTTTTTCATTGTCTGTTTGCATTTCGTATTTTTATCGCTTTAGAGAAACTGTGAAGAAAGCAAGGGCGGTTCGCGAAAAGCAGTTGAGCAAAAAAGCTAAGGAGGTATGCTTTTTCTGCCTCGGTAATTTCTCCTACTGCGGTCATTAGCCGTTGCAAGCAGGAAAACTAAATCAGACAGTTTAAAGAAATATTTATTTTTTCGAGCAGCAGCATTTTAAAACTGCGAGGCATTGGAAATCGTAGTATAGTTTGAGCACTTCTAACATCAGCATCATATCGACGCATTGTAAAGAGTTGTATTACTGATTTGCTTCAGCAAGCTGAATTCGAAGCTAAACGAGAAAAGAACATAAAAGCTCGCAAGAAAGCGATCTGTCGGGTCTTGTCAAAGCGCGAGCAGTATCGCCTGAAAAAAAGTCTTAGTCAAGCATCTGCTACCAGCAGCTGATCAACGTACTGTGATAATTCTTTTCCTTCATAATCATACAATATCAAGTCGAATTTCTCAGGATGGAGTGATGTAGCTTGGTGTCAATGGACGCATTAATTTTATTTTTACTGCTTTTGTTATAGTTTGCCGTGTAAGGTGAATATAATAGTTCGTTCTTCTTGAAGTTGCTACAGAGTTTAGGTAGTTCTCTCCAAATTGTTTCCTTGCTTTTTTCCCGATGTTACCTCCATTCCCATAGCCAACTTATTTTGTTTGTGAATAATTATGTTTCTTATTGCATCAGCTGTTATTCTGTTATGTTGAGAGGGCTTTTTTAGCTTGACTGAGTACTATCTACACAATTCCGTGTGGTGGTCCTGTTGTCGAGCAAGTTGTTTCTCATGTAAGTGGTGTTCTTTAATAAACGAATTTAACGCATATCCTAAAGTCTCGGAAAATAGTGGGAAACATCTCTGTACTTCAACAAATTGACCACTATTAAGTTCTGGTTGCTCAAGACTACTCTAGATGCAGTAGTTTGTTTAAGACAGTGTTCTTGTCAGGATCGTCTGCACTGCATTTTATTCATTAATCTGAGTAGGACTATGTATGAAACCATTGGTTGGGCTCTGAGCCACTACATATGTTTTTTATCCGCATTTAGCGCTTTCGCAACTACAACAACGGTTCCGTATGGCGGGTGTAGGAATACGCTTATTGTGCGATGTGCATTCAGCTCGTCACATACTTTGTCTTCTCTGTCCTCCCAGCCAAAGATATAACGAATCTGTTCTATGTTTTGTTCTACAATTCGGTTTCCTATGCATAGTTGAGTTCTTACCTACCATGTGTCTTCCTTGTTTCTGCAACGTCTGTAGATTTTTGTAATGATGGAGAAACTCATTACGAGTACAACCAAAGTGCTGTTAGCCGTTGAAAGCTGAATCTGCAACATATGTTCATTAGGAAAGAACGTATGGCATAGTGATTAGAGGTGCTCAGCAATGCACAATTAAACCAGTTTCTCCGAGAAAAACAAAAACAAATGCCTCAATGGTGCAGTGGGTAGCTTGTAAGCGCCTAGAATTTCTAACCACACGTTCGAAGCTGGTTTGAGGTCCGAGTTTTGCAAATAGCAGCATCACTTTGGTAGAAGTGGAAAATTGTGAAATAATTTGCTATTTTCTTGGTAAGCGCACATGAAATTGTTACTATAGCACTTATTTATCCACGAAGGCTGACGTTTCGGCGAATTTAACCTACTTTAGACCCAAGACGTCAAGTTAAGTGCAACCTAGTTAGCAAAAAAGCCTCTAAACCCTCAGGTGAGAAACCATGAAACCTAAATTTCAATCACGTAGAGTTTACAGGAATGGGTAATGCGCCCCTCTTACGTTTCTACTTGAGATATTGTACGAGATCGCGTATGATAATGGGGAAATCCCAGCCGCTGTTCATTTTTGGATGCTTCGAATTTATCCAGAACTCTCCGAGAGTTTTACGCGCTGGTTTTTATTTCTCAGCGAGAATAGTGACTTTCACTTCAAAATCTCTCTTATGTCCGTGTGTCCTATGCTTGCCTAGCGGAGTATTTGGTTTAACAGGTTTACCGACTAAATGTTGCGTCATACAGCTGTACAAAGTGCTGTACCCGCTTCGCCAATATATTCTCCCCCTCCCCTACGTTTTACATCAGGTGCTCCGTTCCCGAACTAATCTATTAGACATTTTTGCCGTTAGGGCAAATTATGCAATTTTCCATTGCGCATAGACAGGAATGTTCTCCAAATGTAATACTCAGTGGAATAGAATATAATAAAGGATAAAGGATAAAACTCTCGGCGTTGATTAGTCCCTGAGGAACGCGCCATGAATTCGACTTCATTAAACATCGTTGGAGGGGGTTGAATGCATATCTGGCTTTTACAGTGACTCGCGGTGGTCTGCCGACGTATCGAGCTAGTGCTGCTATCCTTCTAGACAAGTTTAGTAGCAATTTTCCGACCCCGGAGAGATGTAGGGCTTGGTGGACCTGGAGCGCGGCGATAGATCCCATGTGCATTGCAAGGCGCCTCCGTCCACTGCGCTACACGCGTCCTTGGAATAGAATATACTTGCTGTAATACTGATAGAAAGCGGTGAGTGTATGAAGAAGCTGTTATGTTCTGAATGCGATTAAAGCTTAGACATCGTGGTTTTTCCTTTGAGGTTATGGAGGTGTTTGGCTGACTAGATTGCGATTAACTTGACCTTTCCAGACTCTGAAAAGGACCAAATCCGCCTAAATGTCTTCTTTTGCGGATAAATAAATGGCATAGAGAAAAATTAGTTTGTGTTTATCAAGAAATCAACGAATCGTTAATCAGTGATATGGTTGAGGGAGAACCTGCTTGGAAACAGAAATTTTGAGAAAGAAAGTATGAAATTTGCTGGATTACGACAATTTTCACAGTTTAAGCTAGCATATCGATGCCAGAATGACTCATATATGCCTCATGCGTGTCTGCGTACGTCCACTGGGATCAATAACGTGTGCTGGTCTTCGTTACGCTGTTTATTTTGTGATACAATCCTTTTTTGCTATAGCGTTTGTAATAAATTAACAACTTCCTTAAGGCTGATGTTATATTGAGCACACTTCAAGGAAAGAAATTTTCTACTCTTTAAGATTGACAAAAATCTGTTCTGCGGACGTATCCATTTCACACCGGGATGGACAATCAGTCTTTTGACTTATTGATAAGACTACACAAGGTTATTATATGTATGTGTCGTTTTCTTATTCAGCAATCGCGAGGTTGTTAAACAGCATACATTTACTTCTATAGAAAAACACAATACAACACAACGATAGCTGACGTTTCGGCAGTATCGCCTTCTTCAAAGCCAACTATTCTCTTCTAAAGAAGGCGATACTGCCGAAACGTCAGCCAGTGTTCTATTGTATTGTGTTTTTCTATGGAAGTAAATGCATGCTGTTCAGAAACCTCGCGATTGCTGAACAAGAAAACGACGCATTCATATTTCAACGCCGAGGTTAATAGAAGGTCGATCCTGGGAGTTATTATATGTCTTCATTTTAGATAACGTTCCTCTACTGTCGTCTTTAATGCCGCGATGATTCCGGCTCTACTGTACACAGCAATTACTTTCATCTTTTGGGTCTTTGTGATAACATCGAGTGGAATCAAGTATAGTAAAGAACCGCAGGAATTATTTGACATCACCCAGCACATTCGTTGGGAAAGTGGTCGTTACTTAAGCAGCATGGAGAATCGCTCCACGTTATCGACTGGTCGCTACGGTGGAGAGGCCTATGCTGGGAGCATCCCGTAAAACGCAAGTGGGAGAGAGAATCCCAAGTTCTGATCTACTTCGATGATCGAAATTCGCAGACGCTGTTCACTATCTGTATCACTACTGTCGTTCCGTTGGTTGCCGCGTGACTCGAGTGTGCGCTAGTAAACCTTCCATTTTCCCCTGTAATGTTAAAGAGTAGCACAATAGGCTGTGCTCTCTCTAGAGATTCGTCGAGCATCAAATCTTTCTTTTGTGATTTTCGGGAAGAACTCTGATCATCGAGTTGGTTATTTTCCCGCTGTGCTTTTAACATCCCGATGAATCCAGTCCATTATATTGGCGTATAGAACGTTGTATTAAGTTTTTGATTACCAACATTCGTCGGAACGTTTGATTACTTCTCTCACCCGCATGATACGGAGTATCCCCAGCGTGGTCTTTTCGATGCGTGTTCGGTAACTGTGAGTGATCTTTTACCCTACTTACATAACGATCAGGTTTATAACGCATACATCAAGGCAGGAAAACTCGTGGAGTCGAAAACGTGGGCACGGAGTAGGCTGTTCTTCGTTCACTTCACTGCATCCTCGATGGTGTTGAAAGCGGCCGAAGTGGCTCACTTCCTCCTGCTCAACTTGAGCTCAGCCGTTCATCATGTTGACCTCCCCAAACCCAGAACGGCGCAGCTAGAGCATTCGAAGATATGCATGACTCAGAGACGCGAGAGTCAGAGTTCTTCACGAAAATCCTAGCAGAGGGATATGGTACTCAGGGAATATATAGAGTAAGCAGAACCCACCGGGTCTCTTTCTTGCCACAGGAACAACGGAAAAGTTTGCTGGTATCGGCTCGATTCACTCGATCAACAGGACGATAGATGATACAAGTGATATGTAATTAGATGATTAGGATATGTGAGATCAGTGATTAGTCAACTGAGAATGTAGTGCATCACGATCGCTGGAGCTTCAGTGACGTTCAATCTTCAGTGGATGAATAACTTCTTACTGCATAATCAAAATATACACATTTTTATGAATCAATTATGGACGGTTTTCCGAAGTTTATTTTGGATGGGACCAATAGATACGGGAAAGAAAATACTCTGTTGTGAGAACCGATATATGTTGACGAATTGAAAGAATTTGTCGATCTGTACTTTTAAATGGGAATTGTCAAACATAGTTGAAGGATTATTGGAGTTCCAGCTTGGTACTTGGAAAAAATCTTATTAGGATCGGAATTATGCCGAGAACTATTATTGGAAATTTGTCTCAACTGTATTTAGCAGATAATGCGGGCTATGACCACAAAACAAGTTGCACGAGTTCAGTCTGTTTATCTAACTCATCAAAGGAACCTCTAAAACGAATCTCCAGGCATAGAAAACTAATCGTGAGCCTCTCTTGTGCCATTTAGACAAGGGATGATATTTCAACATTGTACCTCAAATAAAGTACACGGATATGGAACTAATTTACTCAGATTGTATACGAGTGACTCATATATCATACTCCTATTCTTTGCTTCGAACTAACGAGATTAATGCGAGTGTAGCGTAGTGGTCGGAGGCGGCCTGCAAAACAAACATGGGGTCGATCCCATCGCCCAATGCTCGCCAAGCCTTCCAGCTTTTCGCTGTTGGGAAATTGCTACCAAACTTGCATGGGAGGATAGCAACACTGGCTCGATATATCGGTATGCCACCGGCATTCAGCCACCTCCAACGATGCTTAATGAAGTCGAATGCATAGCGCGTTCCTCAAGTATTGATCAAAACCGAGAGCTATATCCTTTATCCTTTATTCTCTGTTTTACGCACAATAAGATGTGATACGTATTGAGATTCTTGTGATGTAAATCCAACCAATCACAATAAAATTACGTGTTTTCAAAGGAATTTGCATTAGTGTTTGTATTGCTTTTAACTGATGTGTAACTCGTTTGATACGGTTTTCCTTATTGTTCCTCCCAAAGTTTACAGTGGTTACAGGTCATGACTATAGGACTGGAGTCGTGGTTCCATAATTTTTCACAGTTCGTATACAGAGCGAATACTCCCGAAGCACTGGCTGACATTCCTCGACCATATTTGGAGTACTCTATATGGGGACTATTCAAAGGAGCAGAAATTTCAAGCGTTATTGGTGAGTTTGTTTTTGATTATCAGTTCTATGGGAAGTCGATTAATAATTACGAGGAACTACTTCCATCTGCAGGCGGATGTATAGCTCATCCACTCTATAGATGGTATCTCCATCGGCAGCTTCAACCTGAAAAAATTACACCGAACTCTTATAAGATCATAAGATCCGCTTGTCGAAGATTGCAGGTAGGGATGCAAAATGAGGTTTTTCGCTTGTTCGCACCTTCGTATCTTCGTATAGATAGATATCTTCGTAGCTATCTAGATCTGTATAACTGTTTAATAGTCCCGCGAAAACGCGTATTTCGCTTTTTCTCGGTGAACGGCACCTAATTTTTGTTGTGCTGACTGAAATACCTACGGATATCACGTCGGACACTCCGGTAGTTTTTAGCTAGTTCCTCCCCTTGTATTGTAGTTTTCGTTCTGTAAATCGGGTTTTCTCTGCGTTTTGGAAGAATAACTGCGCTTTTCTGGTTCGTATGCAGCTCTTGTGTGTGAAGCAAAGAAAAGAAAGAACGCGTACACTATGCAATCATATTGTCATCAACATTTAATGAAGTCGTATAAGTTCGAAAAGAATATTGGGATGTTCCATTATTTTTTGATGAGCACATGTGAGGTTGTTATTACATTGGTTTTATGCTACACCTGACGTTTCGGCGGATTTAGCTATCGACAGAACCTGGAAAGGTCACGTTGAACAACCTATTCAATCAAACACCTTGTCAACCCCAACAGAAAAGCGATATAGGTAATTTTTAGTGGAAAAGAAGATCTTAAAGAGAGAAGAGCAGCAGTTATGGTCGAAGTTGCAGAGGCTGGGAAAATCATTCGCAAACCCACCGAGTCTTCGCCCGCCCAGGCGGAGCAGTAACTGCGTCGAAAAGGGCAATGGAAAAAATCATTCACGATTACCACTCAGATCTCTTCAGTTGCCACGTCCTCCTTCTCTCCTATGAAATGAAGGACGATAGATGTGTTGTACCAACGGTTCTCCATTCCGAAATCCGACATGCCATTTCGTCGGTGAAAAATCGAACAGCACCAGGTCCGGACAGGATAAGACCAAAACATCTGAAGAACCTTTCGCCAGTCCTCGTAAACACACTGGCTCGGCACTTCACACGTTAGCTGTCCGAATGCAAGGTCCCTACTCAGTGGAAGACCAGTAAGACTGTGTTATTGTTTAAGAAGGGTGTCCTGCAAGATATCGGCAACTATCGCCCAATCTGCTTACTGTCTGTCATCTACAAACTTTTCACTCGAGTCATCCTAAACAGGATTGACGGAACACTAGACGAAGGACTGCCGTGTGAGCAAGCAGGGTTTCGGAGAGGATTTAGTACGATGGACCAGATCCATACGGTAACAGGCTCATTGAAATATCGCGAAAGTACGAAAGGGCGCTCTGTCTCTCTATTATCGATTTAAAGAAGACCTTTGACTAAATTGATATAGAAGCAGTTATGGAAGCCCTGGATGGTCAGGAGGTCCATTGTCAGTATATAAAGGTTCTTTGTGAGGTGTATAAAAATTTCATAACCAGGATGTCACCATTTTACAACGATATTAACGTCGACATGAAATAGTTAGACAACGCGATACCATCTCGCTATAATTATTTACCCCCACCCTCGAGAACGTCATGCAGACATTGAAATGGGACAATATGGGAGTGAAAACCAATGGTTGGCAATTACACCATTTCGTCTTTGCTGATGACGTCGTACTTATAACACCAGACATTAGTCAAGCGGAGCGAATGCTTGCCGACTTTGATAAAGGCTGTGGAAAAATTGGTCATTGACTAACCTACTTGGATACTTGGACGGCCTGTCTTCACTGGTTGTGCGGATCCCGGCATATTCTCCATTTTTCGGAGTTTTGTTGGTTTAACCATTGTGTTTCCGTGGGATTCCAAGGTCAGCTTGGCCAAAGTCTGCCCCAGGTCGTCACTACCACAGACAGTCGCAGTCCTTGTGGATCAGAAGGAGATTTGCCACCATACGACTTCGCTACCAGGACGGTGGTGGGTCTTGTTATTGGTCTGCTTTTAGGTGGGCTTCTTGCTGGAAACGGCAGACTCCTTCTCACCTTAGGAGACCCTGCCGTGGGGATAAATCTGGTCGCTGTACATCGCAGCCCCGACACCCAGGAACAGCTCCAAGCCACGATGAGGCAGTAAACTGTTGGGTGGTTTTCGACCAAATCTCATGAAAACGGTATCCGTGAGGAACGGATTGCTCACCTATATCCCATTCACGCTCAACGATTTGATTATTCCCGAGTGGTCCAGTTACCTGTATCTAGGTCAGGAAGTTAACATGGCGAACGATCTAGCTCCAGAGCTGAGCGGAAAGAAACGAGCAGCTTGTTGGGGGCTGGAGGTGGGGGCTTTAGAGAGCATCGAAGATCTAGTGAAGAAAAAAAGAGCGCCCAAATTGAGTGCGCATTCCAAAGGACGATGCCAGGTGTATCCCTTGTCGTACAAATGGGGGAGGGAGTGGTGGATCCCATGCCTCGACCTCCGTCAATCTTCAAAAATTAAGGTGCCATTCTATACTTCAAACTGTCGATGATAAGGTGGACCAGACACGTAATGCGTGTGAATGACAACCGATGGACAAGGCCCGTTAGTGAATGGATTCTTCGGTGTGTCAAACGTACCGCAGGAAAACCACCCATCTGATCGTCAGAGTTTTTCACGAAAACCCTAGAAGAAGAGTATGGTGCTCGGGGAGTCCTTAAAGGAAGCAAAACCCACTGGGCTGCTCTTGCTTGCGATTGGGAAAAATGGAAGGCTTATTGGCGCCCGCTCGAATTACTCGGCGATTGACCTTGTTCGACGTTATTTTCAGCGGGGAAACCGCGTGATCGGAGGGCTATACTGTTCTTTTGCAATTGTGCTATCCATCAGCTAAGGTCCTTGTTTAATATGGTTTCACTCGTTAGTCGACGAGCGGTCACTATTCCACGCTCTTTTCCCCTCTTTTTTTGCCAGAGGTTTTTTTTATAAGCAACAACACTTCTGCCAAATAAGAGATTATCCATCCTTACTTGGATACTTGAACGATCCGCCTTCACGAGCTGTGCGGACCCCAGCACATATGCCATTCGTTCCTTTCTTTCGCAATCATAATCCATGGTGGTGGTCTTGTTCGAGCATGGCAGCGCATGCGAGTCTCATAGCGTGATCTGTAAAACAACTACAGTTTCGCATACAGCTGATCAACTTTGTTTACTAATATGTCCGCTCAACGCGTAGGTGGTCGTGCTTAGGGGACGTTTGCATTTTCTTGGAATCCACTCTACTGTGCTTTTGTGTATATGTCGTCTGTTCTTCTCATTATTTGACTGGCCCATCTATGTTTCGCTGTCGATGTATATTCTCCTTGATCTCTATGTGACAGATTTCGCAGGTCAGAGCTTCGCATTCCGTCTGGATATTGAGAGTGCCGGTTATATTTCAGAAGACACCGCTCAAGTGCTCTGTGAGTAGTGCGAAGCATTCTTGACGTAGTTGAAGTTTCAACCCACGTCTCTGCAACATAACAGAGTGCTGGGAGGACCGTAGAATCAAAGAGATGAGAGCGGTTTTTCGGGTCCTTCAGTTGGTCGATGGCTTCTTTGAGAGGTCCGAATGCGGCCCAAGCTGCTCTCCTTCTTCTACCTAGTTCCTCCTTCATTTTTTTTTTCCATGTTCACTAATCGCCCAAGGTAAACGTGCGAGGTGGTCTCTGCAATGAGAGAGCCATCCAATTCAATTTTTTCGCCTTCGCACCATAGGTTTTTCATGAACTGGGTCTTCTTTCGATTTATGCGAAGTCCGATCTTTTTCGCCGCTTCGTTGAGCTCGTTGATAGTCACTTCTGCTTCGCTAGTACTTCCTGAGAAGATAACAGTGTCCGTTGGCAAAACGAAGGTTTGATAGGAATTTTCCATCAATGCGTATGCTTTTCTCATCCCAATCGAGTGACTTCATTACCCAGTGAAGTGCAGCACTGAGCTGCTTTGGCGATATTGTGTCGCACTGTCGAACCCCTTTTCCAATGGATATGGTAAGAGGTCGATGGAAAAGCTGTATTTTCGTAGTGCAGTCCGAAAACAGTCGGACAGAGTCTTTATGTAGGACGGCTCCTCTCCTTGGTCGATGAGCTCTGATAGAATTGCATTCGTTTCGACACTGTCAAACGCTTTTTCATAGTCGACAAAGGTTAGGACCAGAGGCAAGTGGTATTCCCAACAAACTTCGATGACCCTGGACACGGTTTGGATGTGGTCCATGCAGCAAAATCCTTTTTGAAATCCTGCTTGCTCGATTGTGCTCGATTAGAGGTTATCCATAAAAATTGGGTGCTCAGTTTGCACATGATTCGATTCATCGTGCGAAACAACTTGTTGTTACAGTCTGGCACAACGCAAGTGTTGAAGGGATATCTACGTTTAAGAGGTTCAGGCGATTTTGATTTCTCAATTGGTACTGTTAATTTTTCGATATTTAGGGTATTTAGGAACTTGAAGATTTGGTGGTATTATAGGAAGGAGGCTTCGATTTCCGAATTACTGAAACTAAAATTTTATAGGATGGGCTTTCAGCTTTGTGCCGTTTTGGGAGTTTTGTGCTTCGCTACAATGTTCGTTTGCTCGAACAGTTCTTTCTGTTAGGTTTAGTAATAACTTTAGGGAACTAAACTGTTCTGAACTCCAGTTTACTATTTTCACCTCGGTTTACCTACAGTTTATTGTTTCTCTTCATTTTTCCTATTTTCGCATTGGTGTTCTCAGCGATGCATCACTGTTCTTTGCAAGTCATGTACCCAATCAATAAAAGAGCGGGTAAAATTATAATTTATCCCATATAGATGTTTGTGAGTAGATTTTGAATGAGCCGATGTCTGTAAGCTTTCTTTTTTAAAGACCGAATTTTGCTATTCAACGTGATCGTTTCAATGCGTACGTTTCTGTTTCTTTACAAGGAAGTATCAAATGACTCGTCTAATTATTTATGGTGTAATGCTAACAATGATGCGATTTTTATCACTATTTCATTTTTAGGGGCGATTTCTTCTTTGCGGACTGGGTGCTGGACCACTTGTAGCTATGTTTTACTCCTTTAAATCAGGTTAGAATATGATCGAGTTTGCAGTTATTTCTGATATAATGCATGATTGGCTTTATTTAAATTCATAGCTTCCAATAGAGGAAGTGATACTGAGATCATTTCCTTTCGTAAGCTCACCTTTGCATATTATCTGGGAACCAACACTTCATTTGTTTCGTTATAGTATAGTCTTGTGGCTGGTTCTGCGCGTAGTAAAGTCTGTGAGTTCTATTCTATGGTAGGTGAATGATTTCAAGTTATGAATACAAGTGTTGGATATGCGTAACATAGACGCCCGTCCATGTTGTAGGTTTTTTACACTAGACGACGTTTGCATCCCATTAGGCTCTACTCTTAGCTTCTTCTTGCCCGTCTGTCGCCTCAAATCTACTCATAGTAGCTTAACAGCCCATCTATGTATTTTTTTTCGATACATGTTCCTTAGCCCTCTAATACGAGTCGTGCATGAAATGATGTCTGACATTCATGAGAATGCCAACAGACATTGCTAAACGGCGACGTAGGTTACGCAGAAAACTCGCGAAACAGGGCGAAATGGTGACTCACATCTCAACTGCACAAAAGATTACTGGAAGGTCTACTGAGTCAAACAGGTGAGCACGGATTTTTGGGTATGTACGTGGTCAGTGTCTTTTAAGAGAGCTTCCAACACGGTTCATGCTGCTCTCCTAGTAATTCCTCTGCGTAGTTTTATATCCTTTGTATTCGCTGAAGCACCAGGAACTTCTTAGACGTCGTGTCGATAATGGAAGTGTCATTCATGTCGATTTATTTCTTGTCACGCCATGTCTTTATTACGAAATGGGTTTCCTTTACATTCATTAGTATTTCCTTTTTTTTACCTTTTCCCTTGAGAACTTTGATCGTTATCTGCTAAGGAGGTAGTTTTCGAAATAGTAAGAATGTCATTGGCAAAAACTAATGGTTATTTGGCAGACTAATAACATTCAAAGACATAAGGAAGACGAAAATCTTCAAGTAGCAGTTGAGGCCATACGCGTGGATGGTCCCTTCGTGGATGGTGGATGTAAGAAAAAGAATCAAATGCGGATACTGGGATTTGCAATAACGTGTGGTGTTAGGTCACTTAAATAAAATTAACTCCGAAGCGGATAATTTTTAGAAGGTCTTCGCACCTCATGTTGTTAGTAGAAAAGGTCCTATTAGCAATATATCCATTGTTCAGGTGATGAAGCTACCATCCGTTCCTTATGTTATGATATTCGCTGCAACACGTTTGCTCTTTCGATGGTATGATTTACGCCTTGTGATTTCCATCAATTCTTGTGAACTAACTTATTACAAAGAGTTTGACTTCTGAACACTTAGGATAGATTCGCACTGATGTTTGGATTTGTTGGATGGTACTGGAAAAGATTTCAAGGAGCTGTGGATGGTATCAATATCGCTATTCTTTATGCAGTTATTAATGCGAAGGTGAATTTTTATTCATGAACACCTGTTTTCTTTACAGCAAACTTTACTTTTTATTGTCTTTATATTTAACTGGAGTTTGATTTTACTGCGATTTGGAATTATGTGGGTATACATATTTAAGTATGAATTGACATGGCATATGTATGAATCATGTGTACTTACTCACTTGGATACTTGGACGGCCCAACCCTACTGGTTGTGTTCACCCCAGCACATTCTCCTTTCTTCAGGGTTTTGCTGGTTTAGCCATTGTGTTTCACTGGAGTCCCGAGGTCAGCACGCCCAAAGTCTGCCCCAGGTTGTTAACCCCCATAGCGAGTCTTCGCCATTGTGGATCAGGAGGAGATTTGCCACCGTGCGACTAGTCTGATACGAAGAGTGGTTCGTAGTACCGGTTTATTCTTACCTGGGCTTCCTGATGGAAACACAGGACTCCTTCTGAGCTTGGGAAGCCTTTCCGGCGGATGAATTCCCGCTTTACACATCGCAGCCCAACACTTAGGAACACCTACTAGCCACGATGAGACGGCAAACCGTTGGGAGAAAATCGTATATATATATATATGTATATATATATATGTATATATATGCGTATATATATATATGTTTACATACAGTATATATATACATATGTGCGTATATACATATGAATATGTATATGTATATATGTATGCCATATGCACATATATATATATGTATATGTATACATGTGTACTCGTTGTTTCCATTGTACATTGAAAGGTGCGAAAGCTGTCAACGTTATGGGATTCCTCGAGTTTATTCCTAAAGTATGTGTAGAAAGCAGAGTGGCAAAATGTTTACATTTCAATAAATAATTTGTAACGTGAAGTGTTCTTCAATGGAAGACGTGGATCTTAACGTTTACTTTTATTTGTTGCCTTTATTTATTTGGATCGAACTTAAATTTCATAAAAGTGAAGGATCAGATCCGGAGAGTGAGGCAGGTAGTACTGCTCCCATGTAACTGATTTACAGTGTTTTTGAACTGCAGCCTCTTAGGTGGTCGCATGGCCGAAGCATAAGGTTCGTAATAGGCCAAAACTTATCTATGAGTTAATATGTAACCGTGCACCAGAACTGCTCAATTCCGTAGATGTTTTGTGTTGCGAACGTCCAGTTAACCTGGGAACTAGATCGGTGCTATTTTGTCTTGCTTTTGATGTAAGCGACCAGTTATTTTGCTTCCTGTTATAATTGGCGTGAGAAGCACATCTTTTCATCCATGTTTCGTATGTGGGTGTTGAGTATTTCATAAAAATTTTCAGTTGTACATGTTCTGAGAAACAGTTCCCTAATTTTTTGAGGTCTTGTGAGATGCGCAGTATTAATATCACGCAGCCAAATTTTGGATATCCTTTACTCAGATTTTCTATGGCGTGCTGCACTAGGGAAGGTGGTGTTCTTGAGATTTACGTTTTCTGCATGTAGTCGCTATGCTGTCGTATTCATGTGACTGTTTTTAAGACAAACTCATAAAACATGCAACTTTATGGAATTTTTGAAGACTTCTTCCATTGAAATGAAGATTCGAACTGATCTGTAAACGTAGTCTTTACCAGCCTAAATTATGTGCGTCGAAATTAGACACGGAAAATACACGAAGACTTTTTGAATTTGAAGTTTTAAACAGTTTAGGTTTGTAAATTGGTTGCTTACTTTTTCCTAATAACTTACTTTGTTCTCGTTATTTGCTTTACGTATTCACTCTTCATTTGTTCAAATTCCAGCATTTGTTTGTGTCTAACTACAGCTGTGGAATATTCCTGGATGTCGAGCTACAATGCAAGCCGTGCGATGCGCTACCCACCCCTATCCGCCAGCAATAGTTTCTCCATTTGGAAAGGAGTTCAGCGTTTTCATCGGTAAACCAAGCGGCAAGGTTGCTCAAATCTACAAAATTTTCCGGCAGTATATGGTGTTGACCTAAGCATGCTGTACATAGTGTACCTCAGAAATCGAAAGGGAACAACGTAGCTGCCAAAATAGCAACAAAGCCGTCCCAGTACTTCGCACTCGAGGTGATCCTACCTATGACACTTGAGTCAGCCGTTGACCGTTAGATAAGATGTCAATGGAGCCAAACAAGAGAACGCGCCTTTGACACCTACAGCAATTGTGTAGAATCTTCAAAAGACGACTATTGTGCACCCATGGAGGCCGAATATCGCAAAAACTTTTATTTGTTCTCCTTACAAAGAACAAAAAGAAGAAAATCGGCATGTTTCAATTAAACTATCCTGTTCTTGTTATTCGTATAGAAAAGGTCCCGTCACAAATGGCGTCGTACACATTGTTGCACATTCATTGAGCAAGATGGCGTAACCTTGCCTAGCGACAGTCACTATCCAATATTCGTGTTTTGCAGTAGACGGTGCGCGCCTAAAAGTGCGTGAATAAATTTAGTGTCGAACACTAGGATATGAGAATAAGGAAACTGGTTGGAAAATAAAGGTTTGAGTGATCTGAATTAAGAGTTGGAAAGAAGAATGGTAGTCCCAGACAAAAGATGGTGCCTCTTAAACATGTATATAGTTCCATCATTGCTTGCTGATTAGGAGTAATCCTCTCTTATCTACGATTAGATTGATCCGTAAGCTGTGGGAGTTCTCCTGTAATCGCTTAAAAAAAAGCGAGACGAGTCGTATATAACCAGAGTATTCTGACAGAAATTCTTTAGTTTTGTAATCGGTCGATTAAAGGCTATCTGACGACGACTATCCGCCGAAGTACGTAAAAGTTGTGGTGAACTCGCCTCAGTTCTTCAGAATAGTATTCGAACAAGCTTCCATTCACTTTCGTTTTGCAGTAAGAATAGTTATTGCTGGTGAGCTTTATTTCATCTAATGAATAAGGGATAAAGTGTTTGACGTTGATCGTCCTTTGGGGATTGCTCTTCCTCTTTGATTAAGCATCCTTAGAAGTGACTGACTGCATATTTGGCCTAGACAGTGACTTGCGGTTGCCTGCCTATGTATTAAGTCAGTAATGCTTTGCTCTAGTGAGGCAAAACTGATACCAATTGACGAAACCCGGAGGGATGGAAGGCTTTTTGAACTCGAAGCTCGGGATCGAACTAACGACTACGAGTGTATTGTAGAATACTGCTGTACAAGCGCATCTCCGCCAAGTGGATAATACAAGAAAATTCTCAGGAACCATGCGCTCTGGAGTTTTGTAAATATCTCAGCATCGTTGAGTGGTTTGTGTTGAAGACAAAACTGGAGCTAGGTCCGAAAACTCCAGAGTTAATGCAGCTAATTGAAACTGCATTGGCTAAACGTGCTTTTAGAAAAGCTTTATTGGAAGTAACTTTAACATGTGCGATATGATCTCGGATGGAGTCATATACGGTCAAAATATTGGCCGCTTTCAAATTTACACGAATATCCCTCTATAGAGGATATTCCCATGAAATATTCTCTATCTGTCATTTTGACATATCTTGTATTATTTATGTATTTGTCTTAGTTACCTCCGTCATGTTATCTATTGCATCCCAAGTTGTTTAACATAAGGCCCGCGTGCCTGAACTACTTTGATGCTTCTTAACCATACGGTACGCCTCCAAGCACTGCAAAATTGCTTGGTGGCTTGACCATGCGATTATCGCCATTCGTTTTGAGTTAGGCTCCATATCAGTGACATTTGCCTTGAGATGACGTGTGAAGATCGTCGCCCTTCCACTTCACTGTATCGGTGCATTGGCCACTTTAGAGGACCAAACAGCTGCACATCACATTTCAACACTTCAGCGTCTAGTTCAACATCCAAATAACTCGATTGACTTTACTGCAACTCAGCTTCGCAGCTACCACCTCAACTTGGTGCCTGTATCGTGGGTTCACAAGTTCATGTTCTACGATAATATTCACTACTTGGAATTTACCATGAGTAGCCCATTGACAGTTCCAAAACGATGTATTGCGCAATCCATTAAAAGGATTGAGACGATGCTAACACGTCTCAAAAATGAGCAAATAGAAGTGCTCAGCACGTCATCCGTTGAATGAGAGATAACACAAATCTTCATGTATGAAAGCATACATAAATTAAATGGAGAACTAACTACTCGCGATTGAGGGAGTAATCGCAAAATTAACACAAACAATAAAGGGGTACGAATCAAAATTTTCTGAGCTGGATTCAAGATCGTCAAAAGAAGATAACTTCCAAGCACGTTTTGTTATTGCAGATGATATAACTGATGCAGCGGAAGACTACTTGGTACCACTCAAGAATCGTACAGAGCTTTGAGCATGACGATATTTCACAAAGAATACAAAACATCTCGACAAGAGTATACTCAAAAGTCCAAGCATTCGAATCACCCAGAACGACTACAGTAACATGTCTAGAACCACACACACTCACTGTACCAATGTTTATTGGTAACATTTGAGAGCGATAATTTCTGCCAGCTATTAAACTCGAGCATGCGTTGATGGAACATATCAGGACTACATAAATTCGATTGCTGCTCACTAAAGAGAGCTACAATAGAACCATTGAACTTCTGACCAAAAAGTACGGAGACTCTGAAAACTCATACTAGTGGTCACATGGACTAACAGGATAACTGCGAGCATTGGTCTTGCACAGTACGCGGTCAACATTTAGCTCTTCGCACATTTACAATCAATACTGAAATAGGGGGATAGCACAATGCAAACTGCTGATATTCGCGAACACGGTGCTGATTCGACCTCGCTCCGGGTACACCAAGCCCCTCATACCTCCGGGGTCCGGACTTGTCTGGCAAAAATTCGCCCTCTGCATTCCAAGCCGGAACGCTCTAGCACGGCTATTTGACTCCAGAGAGACGACCAACATTTAACGACTTTCACGATGGAAGAAAAATTCTAAAGCAGCAGCCGAAAAAAAATGTGAAAAGCTGGAAATCGTTCCTGAATGATGTATGCGAGGAAAAGCATCGCATGTGAGAAGTGATCCGAGAAGATCCTGACGATAGATGTAAAAACGGATTGTGTTAACAAAATCAAGTAACACATTTAAGAGCAAAAGTTGAAAACGTGGACAACCAATGTATGTTTGGGAAAGTATTGACTAAATTTCCTAATAGCATACAGTAGATAGTCACTGGAAAGGAAAAAGAAGCCTACAGATGCGGCAACTGTTGCAGTTTCTCAAGGAGCTTATCTCTAAACGGGAAAAGTATGGCAATATACCGCAGATAACCATTTAAGGTCAATTACTGTTGGCGAACCAGGGAATAAGAGCAGATCATGGAGCCTCACCCCGATAAAGTGTCTTCCCTCGTGTACTGTAAAGGCAGTTAGAAACTCTTCAATAGTTATGAGTGCAACACATCGTATGAACGCTCACAATGTCTTCCAAGTAAAGAGTTGTGCTCCATTTGTGTAATTCCACAGCACAGCTCAGCTCACTGTAAAAAGTTATCTTGTTTCAAATGTCGGGAACCACACAGTACATCGTGTTTTCTCCAGTTATCGCTGAAGGAATCAAGTTTCCAAAACTGTTTGAAAATCGAACCAAGCAGCAGCAATGCCATCAAAGGTAATAAAGCTAGAGCTAGGCACACTAAGACATAAATGCGGGCGTTTGAATTTAACTATATTGGTCAAGAACGGGTGCACCCATCCCCAGAGAAGGCGATTGGCTTGGAAATCTTGTCGGTAAAGCATCTGAAATTTTAACAAACCACCATATTAACTACTGCAGAATTTACGGTGATGAATACACCTACAGCAAAACTCCAAAAAGTTACAGTTTTGCTTAGTACGGGAAAAGAACTCTCTTTCGTTGCCCCATCATTGACTGCACACCAGTGTCTTCCACCACAGATGAAACTAATTTATGCGTATGTGGATTGGGATCCAACGAATCAGAAGAAAAGCTGTCGAATAAAATCTCGCTCAAGATATGAGACGCTGAAGATCTTCCGTTCTTCCATGCTTTTATTCACACGCGGTTATTTTGTAAAATCATTTCTTATTCTGTCAGTTCTTGTGGAACGAGTGAACCCCATTCATGAACTTTCCTTAAGCTTCCTGTCTAACTAAAAACGAATTAATGGGAAAACAATCCTACTCGCCTGTGAACAACTGTGGTCTTTAGTGAAAAACGATCAAGCGCACATCAAACTTCCTTCCGGTTTACACATCTACCAAAACACTTAGGTAACCTGGTAACGAGAAAGGTCAGCAAATCCTTATATCAAGCACAAGAAGCTGTAAAGGGTGAAGTCAATGCTGCTCGTTCACTGGTAGCCGAGATAAGGGAACGCAATCCCATGAAATTCGCAGAAATCGGAGAGTGCATAAATCCCGGAAAGTTCAATCACACTAGTGAAGTATTCGATTATCTCTGGAAAATAACGAGAACTCGGAATAGGTAACAGCGTATGAGGACGTGATTCCTTCACAAAGTGGGTATTGCGCAATAGAAACGCAAGCAGTATGTGCGATGTTTCTACTAAATTCCAAAATGGTCGAAATTAACGACAGCTGGGAATGTGTTGCGCTTTCGTATTAGCCGGAACAGAAAATTTGCGATTCTCGAAAGACAACACATCCATATTTAATAACTAATATGGAACAAACTCTCCAAAGACTCCAGGAGCTTCATAAGCACTAAACCAATTGAAGTTTCACAGCTTGAAAGTTTAGTTAACCTCATTCTCTCCGAAGACACTAATATACAAACCACAGTCGCCTACTTTGTGGTGAGGTCGGTGTTACACCCACTCACAACAAAGGCTTACCTACCATTGCTCATTAAGAATCGTGATATTCCACGATGCTTACCGAGAGAAATTTCCTTGACACAAACAAAGTAGGACAACTATGCCTATTCAATGTCATAAATTCTCAGCAATAAGACGAATGCTGAGAGGCGACTAATCAATAATCAGGATAAAGAAGCGGGAGTGTCGATAAACCGAACAAGGAAATACTCCAAATGTAATAGACCGCACAGAAAAAAATCACTTATTGTGTCTCTTATATTATCTAGTAATTCTTTCATTTTTGTTCCTGTTTCCTCATCATCCTTAAAACTCTTTAATACTGGAATATTCTTACCTCTAAAGCCAACAAAATTTCCAACTTACGCTTCGCAATGATGAAATATTCTCTGTCTCTCATTTTAACTTGTCTTGTATTAATCATGTATTTGTTTTTGTTACTCCTATCATGTAATCTACTGCATCTTAAGTTACTTAATACAAGGTCCACTTGCGAGTGCTATTCATACTTCATTACTATCGGATACAACAACTTCGCTGGGCAGCTCGACCCTGCTGCTTTCGCTATTCGTTTGAATATTAGATATGCCCCATATCAGTGTCGTTTGCTTTCAAACGAAGCATCCGCAATCAGCATTTTGCATTTTCGCTTAATTTCCTCCATTAACAAGTCCTTCGATTTGTTTAGACAAAATTAATGTTAACTGAAGTTTCACGCACGTGTACTTTCGACATATTAAAGTTATAGTGAGTCTCTATGTAACCACTGCTCGTTCTTAATCTAGCAACTGCCTCAAATACTTGCTTGATACTTGAACGGCCCGTTTTGGAGATTTGCTTGTCAAGCCATTGTGGTTCCCTGAAGTCCCTAAGTCAGCCTGGCGAAAATCTGCCTCAGGTTTTCACCACCACAGGCAGTCGCAACCCTTGTGGATGAGAGGGAGATTTACCACCATGCGACTTTGAAACCAGGACGGTGGTGGATTCCGGTATTGGTTTACTCTCAGCTGGGCTTCCTGATGGAAACGCCGGACTCCTTGGGAGACCCTGCCAGAGGATGAATCCCCCGCTGTACATCGCAGTCCGTCACCCAGGAACACCTCCTAGCCACGATGAGGCGGTAAACCGTTGTGATGTTGTGATGTGTCCCAAATACTTGCACTATCTATCAGTTCTCTTTGATAGTCCCCATTCCCACATCAATTCATTTGTGTAGCAGTCAACCGCGCTCAAATTCATCAATATCTTTTGATGTATTTGTGTTATGGGTTATTTATTAAGTTCAATGCTTCGTCACTTCCAAGAATCTTTCTCTTTGTTGCAAGAACAACTCTTCAATCGCTATAACTTCCTGGCACAGTGGTGACGTAAATTGTTGCGCTATTGTAGTTGTACTAATATTGATACATGAATAATAATTCTGTGTACACTTTCTTACCCTAACAAACCTGTTGCTCAATGCAATAGATAATTGCTAATGCAATTTCTTGCGCACACTACTGCCAACTTCGTATAGCTGCGAAACAAGAAGGCTAGCGTGACGGAACTACACCACGACAACAAAAACGTCGCTGTAATCTCAGCTCTTATATTGAGCTTTATTTATAGAAATACAAGCCACTGGAATATAGAGATCTTTGCATACAAGATACATATTTTGTTACTCTTGTAAGATTAAGTCCTGATTTTGCAGAGTTTATTGCTTCTTTTAACGTTTTCGTGTCAAGGCTTGTATTTCTTACTCAGAAGCACTTGAATAAGGCAAATGCTTTTCAGGAAAATACGATGATGTTTTTCCATGCATTGTTTCTCTTCGCAACAACCGCAGTATCATGGAAATTTTTCAAAACGTTTGTTTTCATTAATGGAGAAGTCTCTGTCTGCTGTCAATGAACAAACAAACTTCCACAGATCTGTTAAAAATTGCACTCTAAGGAAACAAAGCCGGGTATTGTGCAGATATGATATTGATCAACTCCGATGCTTCCCAGCCCATCCCATCCCACAAAATCCCGGTTTGAGAAAAGTTACTTTGCGCTCTGCTGCACAGTCAAGTCCACACTGCGTCCGTGAATATCAGGAGAGGCACAGCTTCACGAACAGCCAATGTTACAACAGCTTTCCGTCGCATTAGAAGCAACTATGATTTAGACATAGCCACTACGACAACATGTTTCGAAAAGGAAGGAATTGCTGGTCAATAGACCTTGCACGGGGTGGTCCTGACCAAGTGTAGCCGGCACATAAAACATAAAGTGGGACTTTGCTGTTAGAACCTTCAGGAATTGTAATCTCAGCTTCAAAATAACTTGTACTACATTGCGGGTGTGTAACAAGATCAAGCCGGTCAAGTAATAAGGAATATTCACAGCATAATCTTAGCGCTTTTATTTACTGCCTTTTTCTTTTTAATGGCAGGGTATGTCGCGAAATATAACTCGTATATAATGCTGCGATATTTGTAAAACTCCGGACCGCAGGTGTATGCGGTGGGGAACGAACGCGCGCTATTGTCCTTACCGGGGAGTAGCGCACTTCACCACCACACCATCCGGGTCCTTCGCTTTGCCTGTATCATCATCATATACGAGTTATATTAACGGCATAGTACCAGTATGGCTATCAAAATCGAATAGTGTAGGCATTCTCTAGGACGACTTTTTACAAGATGTTCCAGTATTTTTGAACTCAACCACTTGTGGTAGTTGGAAACGACTCACAGATTTTTCTCTGTGATGTCCGGTTGTATGAATTTACGTTATAGTTATACGATCAACTCCCAATATCTGTCACCGTATTTTTATTTTGTGAGTTGTTGTAATTCTTTTATATATGGTTGAACATAAATTATCGTAAACCAAAGATTTGTTATTCGTCCAATCTCATTTTATTTCTGAGATGTCTGGACCAATCCTGAAACCAACGTTGTTAGACTACCCTATAGTCAACAAGCAATTCCAGCTGTGTGAAATACTTCGAGGACTCTACTCTGTTGTGTCTGATGTTTTTTAGACCATGCTTTTGAGAATCCAATAAAACCGTTTAGCTGCATTTTTCTTGTTCTTTACTTATACTGATCTCTATTCATTCCTAGGTAATCGCTCCACGAACATCACCGTTGTTGAAGGATAAAGTGCAGCCACATGAACGATATGAGAGTGTCGAAGCGGCGATTACCAGTCAAACCCGCCTTAAAAAGTTTCTTGCTGAGGAAGAAAAAAGGAAGCTTCTTGAAAGTACGAAATAACGTATAAGCATTGCTAAGTAGAACGAATGTAAGGTTCATTGTTGTAACTGCGTTGTCTCTTCTTTATACCGATGTTCTCAGTAGATTACTTTGGACGCGTACTGCTCCTATATATAGGAACTTGTCTTCGGTCAAAGCGCAGTGTCAGTTGTTTAGCATTTCATTGTCTTTGGAGATGTGAAGGCAGTCTAGGGTTAACATGTTCGATCCGATCCATCGTACTCCTTTTTTTCGTTGTTAATTTTCTTGTTCTTTGATAAAACTGTAGAAAAGGCGTAGTGGTATGTCGACATCCTTACCATCTGTGCAAATAGGAAGTCTGCGATTCAAAATTGTAGGTGTCGAAAAGTGTGCGTAGAGAGATTTTGATTCCATTGTATCTCGATGTCAAGGTCGCATACGTCATTATCCTAAAAAAATTAATGCCGTTAAAGTTGGCTAATATCATGGAGCAGCTTCATAAATACTGTTTATCAAGGTTTTGAATGGCCACCTTCTCATACGAGAAATCGTTCCATGGTGTGAAAACCAAAAGTGCTGAAAGGTAAGTGCTCATGCAAGCTGATTCAGTGGTTATTTTTGCACGAAACCTCATTGATCAGAATTAAAACCATGAATAGCATTGTTTATACATAATGTATACATTTATATCCCGAAGCAACTGATGATCATTGAAAAAGAATTGGTACCAAAAATCATAGTTATCGTGAAAAATTTTTGCCTATGGAGGTCGTATTTTGTTAGAGCACGTGTGAATTAATGAGGCATGATTTGGCTTCAAAATTAGGTGTGTTGTAAGCTACTACGCTGCTAATTTTGTCATTTCATGTTGTTCTATATGTTCACTGAGGGTTGGTCGTTGAAAACTCTTTGGATTATCTGCTTCCACAGCTTGGTGCACAGGCGTAGTTAGTTGTTGTTATCGACTCTAAGTTGGTCCAATTACAAACCACGTGGTGTTATTGCTGAAGAACTTGTTGACAACAGCCGTAGTGTGAAATAAAATGTGGATTAACAAAAGGTGTTATAAGAGCGTTCTCATCTAAATTTCCTTCACATGTTGGGCTTACATCAATGTACAAATGTTTTAAATGCATGGAGATATGAATTTGGCTCTGGTCATTTTTATTTAAATTGCTGGTTTTTCTGTCATATTCCTTCCTAGGCATTCCATTAACATGTTCGTACAATTTTTCTTATGAACATGCAACCAGGGAATTGTCTACCAGCTCCCAGAACTAATATGTTTTTAATTCGTTGAGATTACACAAGGTTGAGAGATTTTTTATTTCATCTAACGTTTCGACGTCTTCGCTTTCATTACACCCAATGGTCCGTGTAAGTGGTCCACAGTTTTTCGTTATCGTCAGGACGGCAGAACATATACAACTCATTGCCCTCTTTTTAAATTCTTCGATTTTTCCTGCCTTAACACACCTTTCACACTAAGACACTGCAAGAAATTGCCTCCAGGTAGAAAAGCATTATTGGCAAGGTGATATATGGTGATACGAAGAACAGATCTCATCAAATAAAATTTCACGATGCTACGTAGGGAGTATTCGGAAGTCGTTCGAATGCGTAAAATTAATAATGGCTGGTAAATTCACCCTATGTTTTTCAGCATAGGGTCCCCAAAATAATTGATGAAGTTCAATTCATGAATTTTCGACTATCGGTCTCCTTCAATCCATGTGGGAACGTCTTAGCACAGCTGTTTCCAAGATTGCAAGGAAAATTGAATCGACAGCATTTAAATCGTTCATAAAGAAGGCGATATTCTCAAGCACCAGCAACAACAAGAAGTAACATTCGATGACCATTGTAGATGTTGGATGCGAGAAAGCGAATCGCACCAACAGGCAGGTGCTGGGATCCGCACAGTAGATGTGATGATGGGTCATGCAAAAGAAAAATATTTTCGGCTAGTGGTTTCTTCTCGACATGAATTACAAGTTGTTACAACAATTAAATTTTTGGATTTCAAACCTAACTGCAAAGTTACATTATCGGCGTCATTGTGCCGCGTAGTGTTCCTGGGAATCCATCTGCCACACACTGCCTTGAATTTTCTACTAGGATGTTCCGCCGACATGAATAACCTAAAGAAACGGCGGAATCCGTGTGACCACCTCTGGAGACAGCAAAAAACCGTTACGATAGGCATGGTGGTTTCCCTCTTCAGCGATCCCAGTGAGGTGCTACGGTTTTCTACGGCGATGAATGGAGGCTGCTGCCGCTCACTCGATTTCCTCGATAACCAGTAAGATTATACGTAATGCAGGTGGAGGAAGTAAATTTTGCGCTTTGAAAGTTTACCTTAGTCGATTAGTTGGATGGTTGGATGGGTAATCCTTATTGGTAGTGGAGGGCCCAGCATATCTTCTATTCCTTTCTTTCTCGCGAAACCGTTGCCAATGATAGTGGTGGTCAACATCAAACACTGTGCCATCCGCGAGTTCGTTTCCGTAATTATGAAGCTATTCCCATTCGCTTAATCACTAATGCAATCACCCATCACTTAGGAGATCGTACAAGACGATGCTTGCACTCTTTTTGAGTCTATCCCACTGTTTTATCCTCATCCATCTGTCACCTTTTGTTTTTACTCCTTGACCGGTGCTTCTGTGCCTCGCTACTCCTCGATTCCAAAGATGTGATAGGTTTCAAAGTTCTGAACCGTGCTAGACATTGTGAGCGTTTGTTAAATACAAGAAGGGACCGTTCAAGTGCTCCGTGTGTGGTGCGCGGAATTTCTGGCATGGTTTTCAAGGTGAATTGAAATGGTGAATGCGGTGCATGAACACGTTAGTTGTTCGATGGGTTCTTTGAGAGGCCTCAATGAGGTCCATGCTGCTCTTTTTCTATCTATTCGTCCTTCATGTTATTTACCATAACTATTGAGCGCTCTAGATAAAAAAGATCATATTCTGTGAGCACAGAAACACCTAGTTAGATTTGTTTGCCTTGGCAACATGAGCTCTTCATGAATTTCGTCTTTGTCCTATTTATGCGCTATGCAATCTTTTTTCCAGCTTCGTTGAGGTCATTGAGCATCGTCACTGCTTTGGTGATACTCCTCGAAAAGACGACGATGTCATCAGCGAAACAAAGGTTTGGTAGGAACTTGTCATCATTGCCTACGTCCCAGTTGAGCGACTTCATGGTCCACTGAAATGCGGCTGTAAAAGGTTTTGGTGGGATGGCGTTAGTCAACCCCATGGAAAATAAGCTACGGTTGCTAAGCAACCGAAAAGTCACATTTATATGCTCTGATTCCCATTACAACTAGCTGAAGTTGCTATATAGGACGGCTCCATTCTTGCGCTCAGTGTTGTTAGGATTGTATTCGTCTCGATGCTGTTAAACGCTTTTTCATGGTCGACAAAGGTAAAGGAAAGGGGTGGATGGTATTCGCGACAGGTTTCTATGACCTGTGAAACGGAGTCCATGCAGTAGGATCCTGTCGGAATCCTGCTTGCTCAACTGAAGTCCTCAATCTGCGCAATAGGATAATAGTGGTGAATTGCTCGTAGAGTACACTCAATAAGCATATCGAAAGGTAGTTACGGATGGTCATTCGGTCACCCATTTTGGACAGAACGACCGTGCGCAAAGACTGAGATTTTCTTCTTCTTAAGCTAAGATTTTATGCAGCAGTACATTCAGTTTATTGCTTTTAGCCCAAAGCATGTTGGGGTGGTACTATCAGGCCTAGAGCTGTGCCTCTCTTTGTGCTTTCTATCTCAACCCAAAGTGACAAGAAGAATTATGACAAGAAACAAGAGAGTCGTACTTCTTCCAGTGAAGATTTCGGGACCCGAGAAGGAGTATATGGAATGGAAAATATTAGTTAGAATTCTTCCGTTATCAATTCCATATCACGGTAGGATGTGGTCATAGCCCCACCTTCTTTCATCAGAGCGAAACATTGTCATCGCACAGAACCCCACGGGATTTCTTCGAACTAGGTCGTTTTTTAGCTGCTTCCAGAAACTTTTTCTGCTTACATCGATGTAAATCTTTATGCGAATATCTTTTACTGTTGGCATTTATTACTAGTTGTGTAAGGTGTGTGGCCTTAGTGTTTTGTTTTCTCTCTTTTCTGTTTCTTTTCCACATAGTAGTGATAGGGATGCGATCTGAACTTCTTGCTACATAGTGTGACGAAAATTCGACGCAAGTTTTAAACCCCAAGTCCTTAGAAAATAACTTAACCCTTTTGCATATGCTTGAGTAAAGGAAAAAGATTACTTATAAGATGTCCGGTTTTTGCCGAAGTAGGTCAGTTGCACCCATATTTGGAGAAGGTAGAGGTTTTTGAATCAGTGGACACCATCATGGAGAGATAAATAGAACAGAGTGGTCCTACGGACGATGATGCTAGGAGAACCAGAAGAAGAGGGAGCGTTCGAATATCTTTGCAGCCTCTATACTGATTAGTTAAAATTCTTGATTAATAGTATAGTCTTGAGGACATACATCCTAACAGGTAATCTGTAAGTGCTGGACATCCTTTTATATGTGCATCAAGAGAAAGGAGACCTTCTGGAGTACAACGAAACTCAAAACCTTCATTTGCTTTGGTGTCTGGAGACCAATCGCATTTGGAAGCAAATTCGTGCTGCTGTCATATCCACTACTTAAAGTTAGCCGTATTTATTGATGTTTATACGTTCTGAGGTGTAATTAGATAACATAACATATTTAAATATCAGAAATTCAGGGCTACATAAAAACCAGTTGTTGTTGAGCAATAATCAGCCAAACAATGATCAAATTGTCAGGAGAAATGGAAACAATTCAGAGTTCATGCATCGCCAAAATGAACATGACTTGGTGACATAAAGTCGTTATCATTAGGAAATGATGAAATGGAAATTTCTAGTCATTCAGTCGTAGTGCCACTAATTTTCCACTAATGCATCCATCAGACAAGTTGTTAAACACAACGACTCCATTCTCGCGGAAGTTGGCAAACGGGATTTGATAGATCGTCTTAAATCCCAACTGAAAGCAGATTTTGTTAACAGCAAAAACTTGGATTTTTAGACCGTTGTGATAAATCGCAATCGAAAGTGGACGTCAGAAACTTGATGGGTCTGAGCTGTAATTTAAAGAATTTCGACTGTTGAAGATGAACCATTCCAGAAAAGAGGAAGCACTAAACGCTTTCTCTAACTAACTAGACAAACAGGAAACAGTTGTACTTTTGCTAAGTCATTTTTTCATTAACCGTATATCAGTCACATTTTACGTCGAATGTGGCCTTGGCTGAACTTTTGTCTCAGAAGTACAGTAGTCCTTGCAATGATTTTTTTTTCTAGTCGCATTATTCATTCATTTCTCGTTTCTTGAGAAAATACCCTTCCCTCCCTATTTTTTAATTGGTTGTCCGCGTTTCTCGGAAAAAAAACTGTCACTTGAGAATCACAACTCAGCAGTTAAACTTTTCATCTATTTTGTGGCTTAATTAGTGCTGGCGTATGTAATAATGTGAATGCCGCTTACTGGCTTGCTACAGCATCAGATAGAAATTATGCTGGTGCTTGCACGCTTCTTCGTAAAGCCAACACGTTCAAGGACCAAGTCACTATGCTTAGTGGGAATCATTTCATGAACAAACCTGTGAGAAAATTGCCTGAGATGCAGCTGCGGTTGCTACTGCTGTCACCCATTCACATCCTTCCGCTCGAGCGATTTTCACGGCCCTCTGCACTAACTCCTTACCCAACCCGCGTCTGCAATTTCGTAAAGACGGGTTTCTTGCTCGTGACTTTCCTTTCCAAGTTGGCTTATTTTTCTTTATTACAAGCAATAGTATTTCATAGATATTTTAAACCAGATTGGCATGAAATGTTAGAACTTCTTGATAGATCAGATATCATCTTTCAATATCTAGTCCTGAGAAGCCAACTAGAAATTAGACTACTCTAAAAATTTGTGGCTGGGTTTTAGAAAAATGTTCATGTGTGGCATACCCTTTTGCGTCACCAGCAACGCAAAGGATGTCGATTTTCAAGTATTTTGTGAAAGCATCAGGTAGTCGCCGTAGAGCTTGTTCCATCGCGTCCACGAACGCTGTCAGCTGATTTGCCTTATGTTGTTTGTATGGCCCTTTCGCGATCTCTGGAAATTCTTGCAATGCTAAGCATTTCGACGTAACTCTGCCTCTAAAGTGGCAAAAACATCCTTTCTTCCTAATTACTTCTCATGTTGAAATTTAGCACTACTTGACATTAATATGAAATAGATGGACAAGTAATTAAATAGTAATAATGAATATGTACAGGAATAAATACCCCCCCCCCGCCCCCACCCCAACGGGATACCTTTACCGCTTCATCGTGGCTGGGAGGTGTCCCTGGGTGTCGGGCTGGGATGTACAACGAGTGAATTCATCCCCTGCTAGTGTCTCACAAGCTGAGGAGTCTGGCCTTTCCATCAGGAAGCCTAGCTAAGAGTAAACCAATACCAAGAACTACCACCGTCCTTGCATCAAATTAGTCCTATGGTAGCAAATCTCTCTCTGATCCATAAGGGCTGCGTCTGCTTGTGGTGGTGAAGACCTGGGACAGACTTTGGCCGGGCTGACCTCGGCATTCCAGAGAATCACGATGGCTAAACCAGCAAAATTCCGATAAACGGTCTATAGCCTTCTTTAAATCGATGAATGTGAAACGAAGCGGTGTTTTATACTCTCGCGATATTTCAATGAGTCTTGTTGTTGTGTGGGTGTGGTTCATCGCACTAAATGCTTCTCGAAACCCTGTCAGCTCCCATGGCTGCCCTTCGTCCAGGATTCTGTCAATCCTGTTTAGAGTGACTGGAATGAAAGACCGAAGACAGTAAGCAGATTGCGCGGTAGTTGCCGTTACCGTGTTGGTCACTATTCTTGAACATTAGCGCGGCATTGCTGGTTTTCCATTGAGCACGAAACTTGAATTCAGAAAGGTAACGTGTGAACAGCCAAGCCAGCATGTTTATGAAGACTGGCAGAAGGTTCTTCAGTTGGTCATATCTTATCCTGTCCGGAGCTGATGCTGTTCTACTTTTCACCGACAAAATATCATGTAGGGTTTCGGAAGGGAGAACCAGTGGTACGACAATCTATGCTCCTTAATTTCATATGAGAGAACGAGAAAGTGGCTATCGAAGAGATCGGAGTAGTATTTGTGAATGATTCCCTCCATGCCTTTTTGGACGCTGTAACTGCTCCGTATGGGCGTCGGAGTGCAATCATCTTCGTCTTGTAATTGGCGAAGCTTCGGTGGGCTTTGCAAATGCTTTTCCCACCCTCTGCAACTTCGACGATAACTGCTGCTCTTCCCTCTTTGAAATCTTCCTTTATCGCCTGTCTGCATTGCTTTGCATTTCCGAATTTAGTTCACGGCTGCCTGCAGCTTGTGCGACTCCAAAAGACAGGCGATAAATGCTGGCATACCAGCTCGAATGTTTCCAGAAACAGAGGTCTCTTGTTGATTTTCGAGATCTCAGCTTTCATAGAGCTAGCATGAAGATGCTGAATGAGCCGATCGTATGCTGATGCTGAATGAGCCGATTGATGTTGTCGACAACGGCATCTTCATAACAGCCGACTAATGAAGTGAACAAGTCCCAGTTTACGGTTGTTCTAGGATTTCGGTTTTTGAATTTAATGGCTTTTTCTTCTTTCCGCGAGAAATTAAATCTTGCACCAAGGAGGCGTGGTCTAATCCAGGGTAGAATTTTGGAACAACAGCGACATCGGTAAGGTAAAACCTTCTATTTACTATGATATTGTCTATTTCGTTATGACACTCTCCATTGGGAGTTTTCCTACGTCCAGCGTTGAGGGTGGGACTTCTGGAATTGCGAGGTCTTGGTCGTAGTGATGAACTCGGACAGCCGCTCATCCAGCTGGTTCCATTCTAATCCGTGGGTCCCAATGTGATGTTCTTCACACGTTCTTCTTGGTCCAATCTTGGCGTTTAAATCTCCAATGATGACCTTAACGAATGTATGGTGTTCTCTGTGGAACTTCTCCAAGTCCACATAGAACGCTTGGACTTCTTCTTCGTCATAATTTGATGCTGGCGAGTAAAGGATGAAGATTGTCAAAGCCGCTATTAATCCACATCTCTTCAATCGCAAACGTCCGATTCTGGTCGCTAGTTGTTCGAATAAATCGATGTTTGTGGATAAGCTCGTGTTGAAGAGAACGCCGACGCCGCCGACTATTCTAATGTCGCATGTTCCGAAGAACAGTTCTTCTCCGGTGCCATAGACGGCGTTGAATGGGTGACGTCGTCTCTTCTCAGCCAGTTCGATGACGTCGTACCTTGTCATTCTTGCTTGCATGATCAAGTCTTCTGTCGAGGACTTGGATGCAAGCGTATGTGCATTGTAGGTACAGATCGTCGCCTTAGTTCTTTGCGGTTCAGACAGCTTAGAATGATCCTGAAATTTTAGCAGCGTTTTCGTGCTCGTCCTAGCCAACAGTGCCGCATCGTGGGCTTTTTCTTGGTCAGAATAGTGAGGCCCGAAAATAATGAGTGCCGAGCTGTGAAGGTGGAGGATGCGTTTGCTCACGGATAGCTTGCCACTCTCTTCCAGACTGGACAAGGAGCTTATTTGTTGGATGCGACTCCTAACCGCCTCCCATGCACTTCCCTGTCACTTGATTGCAGGCTTTTGGCCGAATCGACTCGCAGAATACAATCCGCATAAACTAGAACGCATGCACAAATACGCGTCGTAAATACAAAAAGTATGTGCCAAATCGGCGTAGCAGAAACAGGGAGTCTATTCCCTGTATTCACCTGCGTCTCAGGAAACTAGAGGTCGCTTTTGGTCCGTGATTATCCCCCTAGCACCTGAGCACGCGCCACGTTTCCTGGATACTAACCGGCGTGAGATCCATCATGTGAGGGAGATCCGTGGCAACGAGGTCATTATGAAACCTTAATTCCGTGACGTTTCGGCTCGTTTCTGGTTCGATCGTGCTTCCAGGGCTCACTAAACCTTTTACACCTCCTGTGTTTGCAAATTCGTTGAGACTTGTCTGGAGGATAGCAGCACTGACTTGGTACATCGGCAGGCCGTTGCAAGTTATTGTTCAAGCGAAATATCCATTCAGTCAACAATGTTTGATGAAGTCGAATGCATGGCGCACCTCTCAGGGTTTAGTGTACGCCGAATGCTTTATCCTATATCCCTTATACCAACTCTCATTTAGCGTCGATGTGAATGACAAGTGTTCTATTTTCATTGATTTGCAGACAGGAGCTGTTGTGAAAACTAAAAAATAACTACAAAGATCCAAATAGCAAGAACGGATAGCTGTGGACAGTCCATTCGAATGGCTACTGCTCTGAAGAACGCGAAGGCGCTCAAAGGTTAGATGAATAAGTTTTGGATATCCTCGTGTTAACTAATGAGTTGAGCAAAGCATGTGAAACTTAATTTTTGGCTGTTCTCCAATTTGGTCGCGGAATGCCTTTTACGTGACTGCTACAAGCAACTAGTTGGAATATTTCTTTCATCCGTCAAGAAGAAGACTTATAAAATGTCTCGGTAATTTGCCTTATTCAAAAATACAAAAGTGGCGTTTACTATATCAACGAAATGGTAAATACAAGACGTGCCATCGGCGTAGTCATCGTTTACGGCTTCAACTTGCGATATGGCAGCTTCTTCGCTTCCACCATTAGTGCTTACGGAACACAAGCATATGCCGATTAATCTGGAAACCAGCGAAGAATAGTTGGAAATGTGCCATCACTCATTAAATTCCAAGCAAATACTGTTTCTCTTTTGATCGCTGTTTTGGTTTTGAACTATAAAAGCAAGGAAGATAGTGGTAACACTGATTAGTCCAGACTTCGCAATGAACCTACCCTAACTATTTCACATTTGAGTAGCCCATCCTCAACAAGTCTCGTGCCCCATGCAGCACAAACAGTTTTCTCTATAATAACATGATACGACGGCTATTTCGTTATCTTACACTATTGCTGCATCTTGACGATCAGAAGGAAGCCTGCCATTTTACGGCTCCCTTTCTCCTAACGACGGGAGCAACTCAGCTCGCCAGGTAAAATTTTACCGTCGCTGCGTTCCCGGGGAACAACGCCAAATCCATCACAGCTTGGTTGACCAACCTGTTGAAGAGCCTCTGTTTCACAATTTTCAAGTGCAAACAAACCCATGTATTTTGCTGATTTCCGTCAGGAATGATCGTGACCTGCTGATCCCGATTCAATAGCATTCGATGAATAAACGTGTTATTAAAAACAAACCTGTCCCGTTGATGAACAAGTGTGGAGTACTTTTCATTAGAACATCCTGCATGCGCCAGGTCACGAAAGTTGTCAGAAAGGTCGGCTCTTGATGGATCTAAAATCTTCTTACTTAAGGAACATTTTATGCAAAGCAGCATTAATTCTAAACCAGCTGAACAGTCAATTACGGAATTTCTTGGTGCGTTGCTAGGCCGCGTCCGTTTGAAAGTAATCGAAAGGGTAAATAAATTGAAAGAAAGAAATAATTGAAATGAAAACTTCAAAAAAGTCTTCTTCCACAAAAACTGCATATCTAGGGATCGTGCCATGATTAGGAAAGCTCACAAGAAATTAGGACGATGTATGAGAAAGGAATAGGAAGGTAAGTAGTGTAAAATTGAAAGAGTGAAGTTTGTGGAACGTGTAGAAATTCGTGAGAAAGTAGACGTAAATTTCTGCATAAAGGCCAGCATTGTGATAATGCATTTCTTGTGAAAACGTTGTTAAGTTTAAGTGAATGCCGATTTGGGTTTCCCAGATGAATCCCGTTGACTGGTGATTGCTGATGGCACTGGTCGATAAATAATTGGCTGAGAGAAACGCAGAGCAGGAGCTTCCGCGGCGCATAGTGTTATGCGCGAGCTCCTGGAAACGGAAATCGTGGTTCGATCTGGTCGGAGTCCAAGCTTTGTGAACATCTGAGCGTCGTCGTGGTTGATTTCGCATAATACCCTGCGTGAAAATTTCAATAAGTAGTAAATAGAAAAGTAAACGTTGTTTGGTGATATTTTAACCACTGCTACTGAGTTCTCTATAAAAAAGGATAAAAGGATAAAGCTTTCGGCGTTGATCAATCCCTGAGGGATGCGCCATACATTTGGCTTTGTTAAGTATCGTTGGAGATGATTGAATGCATATCTGACCTTTACAATAACTCGCGGTGGCCTACCGATGTATCGAGTTAATGCTGCTATCCTTCCAGGGAAGTCTGGTGCCAATTTGCCGACTCTGGGGATATAGAAGGCTTGATGGGGCAGTGATGAATGGATCGACTCAATATGTATTGTAGGGCTCCTCCGACCACTGTGCCACATGCGCCCCCACATGCGAGTACCTGTCCTTTTCCAAGCAACGTTTCATAGCTACACTTATTGAAAAACATCTCCAAGATGGTTCTCTTTATCGTTTGTCATTCTAAAAGGTATTCAGATATCAGTACCGAGAATTTGAAAACGAGTGGATCAAAGTGGTGTAAGCGGCCTGTTTGATCATTCCATCATTATTCAAGGTTGGACTCTTTATCAGCTGTGTAGATGGACCAAAGAATAGAATAGCATGGTTTTTAATCCTACTACTTACCCAGTTGTTGAAACATATTCCGGCTCATCATACGAACGCCCGGCCGTTCCTGGATTGCTTGCCTATAGAGGAGGAGTACGTGATCGAATCCTTCAACGTTACTGCATTTTACATTTAACGCGTCGAATCACTTCGTAATACAAGCCATCCTCGAATTTCTTACGCAACACAAAGAAGCAATGAACATGTCTGGCTTCTCGATTCAGCTCATAGCCTCCTCGAGCTTATAGCTCCCTTCAAAGAGTGCCTTTGCTGCTCAATCTCTGCATGTTCCAAGTTGTACTTCACACTAATGGGAGAGTTGGCGATGGGACAGCAACTAGCATCAAGCTTTGCCATTGCATTTATGTCTGGTGTGGAATCACCATTAATCGAACTCCTGCCATTACTCCTACATGTACTCCATGTACATAGATGATTGCTTTTCGTCTGCTCCACACAAGGGGAGATAGACAAGTGTTTTGTGCTATTGAATGGCAGTCAAAGTCCATAACATTCGTCCAAACCACCCAAGTGAAAGAAAAAGGAAATACTTTCCATTTCCAAACGTTCAAATTAACTTTTCCAAAAGCGGCTTCATCGCAATGTGGTACCAAAAGCCAAGTAACAGAAATATACTGCTTAATTACCTCTCTTTTCACCACTCACACATCAAAAGGGCGCTTGTAAGAAATACGTTTGGGCAGTCACCAGTGTGTGCATGTAAATTGATCAGAAAGAAGAATCCATGAAATTGGTGCTGCAAATGTCGATTTCCAGTGGGTACGAAACTGTAGCTCCTCGATATAGCGGTAGAAAAAAAAGCATGGATCCAAACAGTAATTTTAGCGAAAACAAGGTTCCATTGATCCTGCCGTTTATTTCCAAAGAAACGAGAGAGGCCACAAAAAAATTGCTTAAAAGTTCCGAAGTAGAAAACCTGATAGGAATGATTGAAACGCTTCTGAGTACTCTAAAACGTCAGCAAGTTCATAGCCGTCTGTATCATAGTCTGTGCACAACGCTTAACCTATCTTAACAGTAGAGACGGTGATTGCGTGAGTTCGAGAATCTGAGCTATCTGAGTTAACCTGGTTGGGAAGTTATCTGATCTCTTGTAAAGTGTGCGGAGATAAATACGTTGGCGAAATGGGTAGGGCACTCTGCGTCCGTATAAAAGAACACTTGGTCGGTAAATTTAATGTTGAACTTAATACTCCACTAGGCACGCATAGGCCACAGAAACATAACGAAGACCTTGAACTAGAATTTAATATCTTTGCACTAGAATCGAAAACTTTATAACTGAGAACTCTCGAAGCATTCTAGATAAATTACAAGATTCCAAAATGAAGCGCAAGGAGGAATGCCTTGTCATCACACGATTTGTCGGACAGCCGTTTTAGTTGGAGGGAGGAGCATTACCCATCCGTATGAACTCTGTGCGGTTGATCACTACATGGAATACTTCGTCGAGAACCCATAGAGAACGGTGAGGGTGCGAAGAAGAGATTTTGTTTCCAATGCGAATGAAATCTATGTTTCGTGATGTTTCTATTGGGATTATGAGGTGCTCGCCTAACCAAATTGTGGTTAACTTGGCCTTTCCATGTGGAAATGGTTGATCTTTGTCGAAACGTTAGCATTTGTTAACAAAGATTCCAGTAACAACCTCGGGCGTGATTATCAAAAGAAACTGTGATATAAGTGCTTTTAGCAAAAGTAGTGCATAATTATCTTGAAAGGCTGACAACTCAAGAATAAAGGGGAAACCTACTTAAACAGATTGTCATTGGCTCTCTTGTCCCAAATTCAGCGTGCAGGAACTCCTCTATCTCCTCAGCATGTTTTCGAGTCGCTATAGAAAAATGCATGTCAGCAAACATCTAGAATGAAACAGACAATGTGAGAAGCAAAATGTGCACCGCTTAACTTCCGCGAATTAAAATAAATTGTAAAAATGCGCGCGAATTCCTTGATTGGTCCAAAAACTTGACAATGCATAAAACCGGTATAGAACTTTTCATAACCAGACAGTAACCATTGTTCACTCGGCCAGAGAGGACGTAAAATTAATTGCTTGAGCGGCGAAACCTAAGATCAGTGAAAAAATTCACTTTGCTAGAAGAAGAAATATTTTGAACAAGGAATGAACACTTTTGCTGTTCACGTAGACCGGTGAAAGTACTGTGAAATCTTTCCTATTCAAATATGTATAGTCCTTCTGGGTAAAAGAACAATTCTTCTATTAATAAGAGCCGATCAACGTTCTCACCTGTAAAACTATTATTTTGACACTTAGAGAACCACGTCTAATTCCGTGTGGCTGAAGTATCCACTTGACGCCGAATTTTTCTAAGCACTCGTTATGAGTGGTGATCAACTCGTACTTCACCATTTTCTCCAATCAAATGACCATGTCTCTTTTGTCTTCCTTTCATGACTTCAAGCGTTCAGCACATTTTTCAGTATTTTCGGCTTTTTTCTCCTTGTGGTACTCCACAAGCTTTTCCATGTATTCGTAAGTGCTTTTACAACATTTCGAATCCTCATGCGTGGTGACGAAAGGGAAGCTCGCCCGCTATAAACCGCATTGTTCGCATCGGGTAGTCGACCACATATGTGAACTACGTGCTAGTAATTTTTATATACACCCGTCTCATACATTAGCCATAGCCCGACATAACGTCGTGAAATGAAATAACAGTATGTCATTGGGCAAAACACGTCTTTTATGTTCTCGACAAGTATCAGTTTTGGGAAACCAACGAAGAATGTTTATCACTGAAACATTTCAGAAGTCGAAAGTTGAAAAACTTATGGAGAAGGTTTTCACTCTATCGTTCTAAGGGTGTCTATAACTTATCCAAAGTGTTGTTTTCATTTTAAGTATTGTCTAAGACAAATTACCAAAAAGTTGAAAAGAGACATCAAGATTAGGTTTTTCGGGTTGTAGAAGGGAAAACTTTTTGCAAGAATAGAAAAGTTTCTACTTTGTTTGAGTTTCATTTACTGCCTTTCATTTTTTTTGTGGCAGAGTGCTGTGTGGAATACAACCGCAACAATGCTGAGGTATTTGCAAAACTTGGGACGCCAGGCCAGCTATGAACACACGATTACCCTTTCCGGGGATTTTTCCTGAGGTCCTGAGTTTCCATATCGTTCGGAAAAAATTCTGCAGATTCCAAATGTTTTCCTTCCATGAATTAGGACCCACTGGCTGTTTGCTAAAAGTTGAAAGGCTGAATCATTTCCCATGCTCAGAAATAGCGTGAGGTAAGAAATGTCGGCAAACCATTTCTGTGACTTAGCATTGTGGCTGAAACGAAAGACGGATCAGCAGTTTCGAAATTTAGCATTGTGTTCTGCTTACCTGATTTTCGCCTATCACACTCCATCACTCCCCCCTCTATGTTGAAGTGACTGAAATTTGCAAGATTTCACTACCTAAGAAAATTCTGTTTCTTATTATCGTTGTATTTTTGTTGAGCAAATCCGACGTGTCATTTTACTCTTTCTTGTTGTGAAGGTGACGTTTCGATGGACTTCGTCTTCCTCAGATTCTAGAACGGTCATGTTGACTACAATCTACGCAGCCAAACACCCCAATAACCAAGCAAAGAAGTTCCTCAAAAAAGATTTCAATCACGTTGAACACAGAATAGCTTCTTTACACACTCATCGCTTTCTATGAGTCTTCCACTGAATATGTCACATGGAGTCTAAGCGCACAGAGTTCACATGGAAGCGGAATGTGCCATTCACAGTAAAATAACACTCTTAAATAGCGTTTCAAAACCAACTTTACTTTAACTTCGGTTATTACTAATCAACATGCATTTTTTCTTTGATGAGCTTACATGAGGTTGATAAACACTTTTATTCGGCTAACATTTCGACGTCTTCGTCTTCATCAGTACCGACGATCCCAGTCGATGTTCCACCGTTCTTCTTCGTCTCGATGTGGCGTCTTCGCTTTCGCATCGAGTTGTGTCTTTCTTAGTGGACCACATCTCGAATGTCCGGGAAAAACAAATTTTATCGCAGCTATCAGCCATTAGCGTTCTGCATAAAACGGCATCACCAAGTGAGTATGCCTCATTCGAGAGATAGTCCGCTGAAGAAGACACAAGTCGATACGAAGGCAAAGACGCCACATCGACACGAAGAAGAACGGTGGAACATCGACTGGGAACGTCGGTACTGATGAAGACGAAGGCGTCGAAATGTTAGCTGAATAAAAGTGCTTGTCATCCTTGTCTAAGCTCATCAAAGAAAGAATACAAATCTTGAATAGTGTGCGACATCACTAATGACTATGAGGAATTTCTCCCTGCGGTTTATTTCCCGTTTCTTGGAATGAATGCAGAATGTTTCGAGAGTTTTTCGCATTGAAGCTTCCAATTTCTGTGGAGAGAATGGTAACTTCCACTTTAAAGTGTTCCCGGCTATATCTCCGTGACCTGTGCGCCTACTAGAGCGTTTGGTTTAACTTTACGTTTACCAACTAGGTGTTATTTTATACGAATTCAGAATGGTCTGCCCGTTTTGCCAATGACTGTTTACTCCAAGATGCCACCTAGTTCGCCACCACAACGCAAAATCGCATAGTTTGTGGTAGAGATGGTGATTTCATGAGTTCGGGACCAGTTTATCTGATCTCTTGCAAAGCGTGTGGAAACGATTACATTGGCGAAACGGGTAGACCACTCTGCATCCGTATAAAGAAACACTGAGTCGGTAAATTTAAAGTTGAACGAAATACCCCACTAAGCGCGCAAAGAACACGAAGATATGACGGAGAAATTTTCTAAGTAAAAGTTAACATTCACGCACAGGAGTCGAAAACACAAGCACGCAAAATTATTGGGGCATTCTGGATCCATTGCAAGAACCCGAAAATGATCCGCAAGGAAGATTGTCTGATAATCGCGGACGAAATCGGGCAGTGTTTATGACTGATATTTTTATGCAGGAGGCAGATTATACTTCTATGTGAGCTCTGCGCGCTTGGCCTCCGAACGCCGTATTCAGTGCAAGACTTACAGAAGGCCGTGCAAAGAAGCTATTCTGTGCTAAATGTGATTCAAATCATGGTTTAGTATTTGTTGTGTTTGTTTATGGAGAGGTTTGGCTGGGTGGGATTGTGGCCAACTTGAGTTCTAGGCTCTGGGAAAGGCGAAAACCATCGAAACGTCAGCTTCATAGCAATAAGGAGTAAAATAACGCCTTCCATTTGTTTAACAAACAGAAAGGGAATTATTTGATCAATGCCGAGGTCAACAGAAAGTCGGTCGTGGGATTTAGTACAAGACGTGTCTGTTTCTTATGTTATGGTAAAGCTTCATCGTCTTAAGGAATCTAGTCTTGAACTATGTGAATCATAGTAAGTTAACAATCAAACTGCACCCGGCTCATTGAGAGTGAACAGAGAAATATTGACATTAAAAACCTTGAGGAGGCCAGGGAACTGAGGCAGAGACAACTCTTGTAATCTCCGTCTCAAAATATCCAGAAACTGAAATGAACGAGAACTCTTTGAGAGGAAAACCCGTTAGAAAGACACTAACAATGCAAACCAAAAAGGGCCCCCAAAACATTTTATTCATTTGAATCTGAAAAAAAGACATTTAGTGAATTACAGAGTTGGAAAGGTGCAATAGTTCTGGAAGTGAGAGGTAAGAAAGACAGTATTGTGCTGTCCACGATGGATGATTCAACGCTTTCCACCATTATGTCAAGTTCGAGATCAAAGTCCACTTACGTTTCATTTCAGAAAAAATCCAGTACTCAAAATCCGCTGATTAAGTACTAGATTCAGCCAGCAATTAGAAATCTGTCTGCTTACACTGCTTCAGTAATTCTCACAAGTATTGTTAATTATGTAAGTTCCAGATTCTAAGGTTTGGAAAGGCGTCCATTATAGAACACAGTGATTGATGATATTGCAAATACAACATAGGAATTTTAATTGTAAGAGTTTTACAAATTAATCTATTTGGATAAATAGGATGTGAAAAGTGCTCGCAATAAGACACACTATTTGATGACCCAATGAAGAGTCACCTTTCTAAAGCGAAATAGTTTTGCTGACTAACAGTACGCAATTGTACTTTACAACCCACCGATAACAGTATTCTCAACGATTTATCATCTCACTGTAGCCAAGGTACGCCTCTATCTGCCGACCTTCAGTGTTAAACTTCTGGTAGCTGTCCTCTTCACTAGGAAAAGACAAAGAAACGAAATCATCGGGAAAAATAATTGTGTACACAAGGAAGCATTTCAGATGTGCCACCTAAAACAGTAGTCTACGTAGGTTGAGCTATCGATTGAGTGCAAAAACGTACAATAAAACTCTTCACTGATTTATGTTGCGAAATAAACGGCCGCAAAGAAAATGAGTGGGAATCAACTCACTCCTGTCGAATTAGTTCTCCCGTATGAGTGGAAATCCACTCATGTCTGTATCTAAAAGTTAAATAACTTGCGCCATAATGTTTTTTGTGGGTTGAAATAGTTTTAACGAAGTGTGAAAACGTGGTGGTTTTTAGCCTCGAAATATCACTTGACTTTGTGAATATGAAAGAGTATGCGAGATCCATTCGAATCTGCAGTTCTGTCAACAAAGAACAAACATGTTTAATCGGCTGCATAAAATTCTCAAATAGCATGAACGGTGAGTTCTTCACAGTATATTGAACGCCAACTTCATTCACAAAGAAATAGAAGTGGTTGACTCGGCCTTTAAAAAAATAGTGAGAGACTGTCAAGTTGAGTTCACGTGAGCTTAGCTCAACGAGGAATAATTTCGCCACACAATTGCGACAAATTCTGAAGCATTACAACCACAAGCCTGAAGCAAGTCTCTGAAACATGAGCAAAA